CTCACCTAAGTGAGAACCTGACCAAAAAGGCGGAATTTCTTAAAGAAAATTCTGGGAGGCCATTGCTTTGGACTAAGCTCATGCACTAGTCAGGGACTGTGTTAAAGGAAAAAACCTGCCTTCCCTGGTTCACCAGGGGTGTGGCTTCAAAGGCAAGAACTTCCCAGCACCATGCCTCCATCCGCCTCCCGGGCGAGGAACCCAGAGTTCTTTGTCTAACTTTCCCACGCGAGCTAGGTGAGATTTCAGGTGTGCTCCTTTGTTTAAAAAAAGTCCCTGAAAAGCTCTGGGAGGAAGGGCCTCCGTTCTGGGCCGGACAGCCAATCCAGCATCAGAGTCGAGGCTCAGTCACTCCAGAGGAAGTTTAAAAGAACACCTCTCATTGGAGAGAAACATGAATGGGGCAGGAATAACTTCAAAGTTAAAACTCCACTGCACCTTACCAGCGTGGATTTCCCTCTCTGGGATCCCCTCACACAACAACGTGGGAGCTGTCTGTCCCTCTCTACCTGTGCAGGTATCCCCTTTGGATGCCCCTCTCACAGAAGCGTGGGAGCTTTCTCTCTCTCTCTCTCTCTCTGCCTAATAAATCACTTTCTGCCAAACTCTTTAGGTCTGATATGTACTTGAACAGTAAGTTCACCGCAGGCCAGGGCCCTCTTCCTCATTCTTGGGGCAAAGGAGGCCAAGAACCTCAGGGCACATCCCACTGGGGAGGGAGCTAAGCCCCGTCCTGTCCCGTGACCAGGTTACACTAGGCCCCAGCAAACCAAACCAAACCAAAATGGAGTCACTTGTGCTAAGACTTTAAGGAAACACATAGATTCTAGAACAGACCAGGGGTTTTTTTCTCCTGCAAATCTCTATAACAAACATTCCTGACAACCTGCATATCCACCCCCTGAAGTTCCCATTAAATCTTTAACTAAATTCATTTCTTCTCACCTAGAGACCATCAGGCTTAGACGATCATGCAGCAAAGGTTCCAGCCAGTTCCAGGTGAAGACACCACCCTCACCATCAAGAAGCTACACTTTCTTCACTAGACAGAGCAGGGAGAGAGTTTCTTCAACCTCAATAGGTAGGGACTATGCCCCAAGCCAGCATGAAGCAGTTACAGAAAAAAGATGATTGGTCCCTGTACCTCCCATGAAGATTTATGGAGATCACATCTCTTACAGGGGAAATGAGGCAGGAAAATAGGGTCTGGAGGCAGGGAACATAAGGCGATTCACACTTCAACTTGAAAGGAAATATCATCTCCATAGGGCAGACGTGAAGTAAATGACTATATAACTTTACTTCACCCTCATCATTTACCTAGGGCATACACCAACAAACCAATGGAATCCTCTAGAAGATTTTTGAACTCCCAAAAATTCTGTAACAGGGCCTTGCTCCCACACTGTGGAGTACACTTTCATTTTCAATAAACTTCTTCATTCTTTCTTCACTGTGTGTTTTGCCCAATTATTTGTTCAAGACGCCAAGAACTTGGACACCCTCCACTGGTAACAATACTGCTGAGGCTGACAAACCCTGATTCATGTTGCTTATTATTATTTTTTTGGAGACGGGGTCTCCCTTGGTTGCCTAGGCTAGAGTGTAGTGGCATGATCATGGCTCACTGCAACCTCAGTCTCCTGGATTCAGGTGATGCTCTTCCTTCAGCGTCCCAAGTAGCTGGGACTACAGACACATGCCACCACACCCAGCTAATGTTTGTATTTTTTTTGCAGAAACTGGGTCTCTCCATATTGCCCAGGTGGGTCTCGAACTCCTGGGCTCAAGCAATTTGCCTGCCTTGGCCTCCAAAATAATCCCTTGTAATCCTAGTAATCCCTGCTGAGATTACGGGCGTGAGCCGCCACTCCCACCCCATGTTGCTCCATCAACCTTGCACTTTGGAAATAAAACCAATTTGATTGTTACGTAATACTCTTTTTATATCTTACTATATCTAATTTTCTAATATTTTGTTTAGGATTTGTATCTATATTCATGAAAGAGATGGTCCTATAATTTTTCCTTTCGTGTAATGTCCTTGTCAGGTTTTGGTATTAAGGTTGATTTGGCCCCATAAAGTGAATTGGAAAGTGTTCCTTCTTTTTCAATTATCTGAACGTGTTTATGTAAGATAGATGTGTTCTCTGACCTCCTTTGCAGTCAGACCTGCCTCTGCTCACCTCTTCAACTCCATAAACCATTGATGTCCTTTGTCTAAGCCTGAGAAATTTAGTGAACCCAGTTACAGCACTAAGTAAAATTACTGTTTCTTAAAGGTCAGAACTCACCTGAACCTACTGGATCCCTGCAAGGCTGGGAACAGGTGGAAAATCTCTCTTTGCCCTCAAGCCTGAGTTTTATGATCTACCTCAGACTTTTATCACTTTGGCAGCTACTAGGCACTGACTCAAATGCCAATAAAGTAGGCTACTAATTCCCATTCGGCCATTGTTCCTGGTCTATAGCTGCCTTGGGTAGGAACCCTTTGAGAAGAAGAGGGCAGGATCAAGACACTCTTGGGACCCCTGCCGTAACACTTTCATAGCAGCTCTGAAATCTTACCTTTTACCACTGTCATCTACTGTGTCTTCTATTGCTAACTAAATTTTTAACTCTTTTCAGGAGTTGAAAACCTTTTCTATACCTTGCCTGTCAAGACAGCTGGGTGGGTACAGGAGGGAAGAACATAAGTTTTTGCATTGGACAGACCTATTTTAAATTTTAGTTGTGCCCCTATGAGTAGGGTTGCCTGAAACAAGGCGTTTAGCTTTCCTAGTAGTGCCTCTGTTTACTCATCTATGAAGTGGGACTAATAATGTCGACTTCAGTGGTGTGTTTAAGAAAAAAGGAATTTATTAAGGGGGTTAGATGGTGCACAGCCTCAGAGGGCTGAAGACACAGACACTAGGCTGAGCTTCTAGAAACAGCTCTCAACACCAGCACAGAGCTGGCCCACCCAGGGAGCTACTGCGTCTATCCTAATCAGGAAGCACTAAACCAGAAGACCGCCCTTGACAGCGAGGAAGCAGTGTTGGACCCACACCCACAAAATGTCTTCCTCCTGCCGGTTTCTTCACTTGACTCAAAATCCCATTCATGCGCAGCTGATTGGAGAAACCAAAACCGCATTTGTGATGCTAGCTGCAAGCAAGTCTGGAAAACACAGTTTTTTGCTTTCCAGCCTTGGCATGCTGGGAAGGTGCTGGAACTGGGGATGAGCAAGCCTATTCACTGTACCCTCTACAGTTGGCTATCCTATTTTCAGGCCTGTTTCCTTTCACGGCTGTTTCAGGCATCTGTGCCCTCGGGCCCAGCTAATGAATCATGATTATTCTTAGTTATGACAACCGTCTTCCTCTTGCAGCTAGGGGCAGTCACGTAACCCAGTTCTGACCAATGAGAGTAAGGGGAAGTCTGCTGCGGGCCGTGAGTAAAGACTTCTGGGAAGACTTTTGTTTTTTAATAAAAGGGACAGCTGTAGATTGATGCCAGCTCTTCCCCTTTCATTCTGCCTCGAATGTCTGGAGCTCCAGCAGCTATCATGTCAGCGTGAGGATGCAAGGCCAAAGAAAAGGCTGGCAAGAACAGAAACGTGGAAGATCATAAGCTCTTGTTGGCAGTGTTGAGCTGCTGAGCTAACCGGAGTAAATGCCTCCCTCTAGAATTCTTGAGAAAAATACATTCATATTGATTTAAACAACTGCTAGTTGAGTTATCTGTTATTGTAGCTGAAAGTATTCCTGATGATAGATAATTCTTCCTCTTAGAAAGGATGTGACTGGACTGCTGATGAAGTGGTCAATCTATGAGATTAGATAGCTCACATATAGATTTTTAAGTCTTCCATATCCCCTCTTGAGGCTTAAATTTCCATAAGAACAAACAATGCCACCTTTCTCTGGGGAAAGGAGAGGAACTTTCTAGGAGTCTAAGAAGAGGGGCTGGTGGTGTGAGCAGGAGATACCTGCGACCCTCCCTTTTCAGAGCCCAGTCAGGGGATCAGTGGAGAATGGGGATCTCTGAGAGCACAGCTGAGAATTAGAGGAAATGCGGGAGCGATCAGCGGCATGGTGACCAGCCTGGAGGTCATGGCGGCCATGACTGACCAGAGAGGAGATGCTGATGGGCAAGTGGACGAGAGACAGAAAAAGTAGAGAACAGAGTTGGTCTCTGGGACCAGGAGAAGAGTGTTGGGGAGATGACACCCAAATGAGGCGACTCAAGGAGAAATGAGTTTTCCAAGTGGTGGCCTCAGGCACTGCTGTGTTCAGTCCTCTTCTTCTGGTCTGCACAGTGCAGGAGGCAGAGGATTGAGGCTGGCTGTAAGAACCAGGGTTCAAGTGGACGATGTGTAATCGTAAAATGTTTACTCTCTCTGTTTGCTGTGAGCTTCCACCCATTCCTTGTTGACCCACACAGCCAGTGAGCACTGGGTCCCCACTCTGCATGAGGCACCGCGCCAGGGACTGGTGATGGTGCAGGGAGAACATTCCCGTCTCTGAGGAACCCAGGCTGGTCATGGAGAAATAGAAAGGTAAACTGACACTTTTGGGGAGAGTTCAAAAACGAGTGCTCATCTGATTTGTGAATGCCTCCTCAGGAAAGGGATGGCCTGGCAGCAATGGGAAGGATGAGCAGGTGAGGGATATGGCCAGTGGGAGGAAGACCTTTTGCACTGGCTTAGGGGCAGGAGAACCTTAGGTTCCCAGTTGATTACAGCTGGAGTGCAAAGTTCAGGGGAAGAGATTAATAATCTGGAAAGGCACTGCAGCCTGGTTAAGTGGGAAAGAGTCAGGCTATGGAGTCAGAACTCTGACTCATCTCTGTGGCCTTGGGCATGTCACGTAACCCCTTGGAGCCTGCTTCCTCTTCTATGATGTAGGCACAATGGTTCTCTCCTCTTGGAAAAAGTTTCACTGGGGTAACAAATAACTAGAAATTATTAATTAGGAAAATGAATATAAAATAATGATCATATTATCTGGCACATGACAGGCATTTAAGAACGATTTAACCAATTCCAAAAAAGCATCTTCCCCCTAAATTTGCATATCTCTGATATTGAGATTCATTGTTGAGGCCTAAGTGGCAGCATCCTTCTTTCTTGTTGGCACATGAACTAATGGTGTCATGCAGTTGATGCCATCTTCCTTTCAATGAAATATGGTGATTCTTTGGAGTGTCTACAATAAAGAGCAGAAAACTTTTCTGTAAAAGTTCAGATAGTAAATATTTTAGGCTTTGTGGGCCTTATGGTCTCCGTTGTAATGACTCAACTTTGCTCTTGTATTGCTAAGGAAGCCATATACAATATGGAAATCTTAAATGGGTGTGGCTGTGTTCAACAAAGCTATTTTTGGACCCTGGCTGTTGAATTTCATACAATTTTTATATGTCATAAAATATTATTCTTTTGTTTTTCTGTCAGCCATTCAAAAATATAAAAAACTATTAGTTCACAGTCTATATAAAAACAGCCTGGATTTGGCCCACTGTGTCCCTATCACAATGATGTCTACTGGGAGATGGCCAAGAATGGCTTTTCGTCAGTGTCTGTGTTTTCTGCCTCTATGACTACCTGGACAGTTTCCAGAACACTTTCAAGCTTTACGAGGAATGATTTGTAATGGCTTTTGGGGGTATCAGCGGCAATTTGAATCTAGAAACTCAGCTTGGGTAGACTGGAATTGGGGATGTTTCCTGGAGGAGCTGCTTCATGAACTGAGTTTTGCAGGATGAATTCAATATGTGTGGTGCAGCGGAGAAACACAGGCCAAAATGTGGAGCAACTCTGTCCACATGTGGAGTCAGGCATGGCTAGAGAATAGGTGCTAAGGACCAGGGGCCAATGTGGAGTGATGGGCCCAGAGCATGCTGGGCCTTGGAAGCCAGGCAAAGACATTGATTCCAAGGCAGGAGTTCTTCACTTGAGGACCAGAGATTGGGCTTTAGATAGTCTACAAGTCTCTTGTAATTTATGCAAAATTTTGTGGAATGTTCATTTTTCTAGGAACAAAGTTTATACCTTTTATTGATTTCTCAAAGGGCAATGTAATCCCCACTAAGAAAATATGATGACGGCACTGAAGTGAGTGTGGAGTCGTTTGTGGTGGACATCATCAATCTGGATGGCTGCCTGCCTTGGCCAGTTTCCCACATCTCTAGGAAGGCCCTGGTATGCAGGGATGGGTCCCCATTGTCATTTCTTTGGAAATTACATAGTCCATAGTCCATGACATCACCCTGCTAATTTTGTATAACTAGGAATTATTAATTAGGAATTTTGTACCTACATGATTCTGCTGCCTGGCCACAGTTGACTGGTCTAGGGGTGGGCACCTCATTCAAGTGAGTGTCCCAGGAGTTTTAAAACCTAGAACCAAAGGTGGAAGCTGGTATTGGGGGTGACAGCTAGATGAAGATAAGGAATATACAGCTTCCGGTGATATGTGGCTAACATTGTCCCTCCCATAGTAGAAACTGGTATTGATTAGAATAGAGTAAAAACAATATACCAGGAAAAGTAAAAACACAAAACTTCAGGTGAGAATTCTGGTGGTATTGAGTCAAGGTACCCTGGCCTTCATCCCTGTCCTTTTCATGGTGACCTGAGGTAGTCCTATGTCCTAATATTAAATCTGTTCTTGCCTTACTTTATTCAGATTTGGTTTGTGGTGAATTAAAGAACCCTAAGCAAAGGGGGTGGCATGATCAGTGTAGCTGCCATGAGGGGAATGAACTGGAGTGAGGAGGCCAGGGGCCAGGAGGGAAGTTATTGCAGTGGTCTTGGGGAGAGATGAGAGGCCTGGAACAGAGATGGTTGTCTTGGTATGGAGGGCCAATGAATGGATAGGAAATGTATTTCCAGGGCAAAACCAGCAGACATGGTTATTGATTAGATATGGAGCCTGAAAGAGGGGAAGGAGAAAGGCGGGGGGGTGCTGGAACCGCAGGAGGTGCTCAGGTTACACCATGTGGCACTGGAAATCCAGGACTACGGTTTTGTGGTTTAGGAGGAGACTCGAGGCTGGATATGAACATTTATCAGCTGAGAAGTAGTAACTGAAGTCATGGCAGTGAATGAGGTTGTTTAGGGCAATGTGGTAAGGGCCATCACATGCTCTACCCAGTCCAGCATGGTCAGTGGACACATGGTCACCAAAGGAGGGGGACACAGAACTCTGTGAGGCTCTGGGGGGCAGGCTGCATATTTATTTTGGTGGTTGGGGGAGCAGTGACCTCATTTTGCAGCACTGGAGAAGGGGACCCAGGATTTACTTGGCTATGTATATTTATTCTTTCTTTATATCTTTCCTTTTCCTTTTTTGAGACAGAGTTTCATTCTTTCTCCCAGGCTGGAGTGAGGTGTTGCAATCTTGGCTCACTGCAAACTCCGCCCCCAGGTTCAAGCGATTCTCTTGCCTCAGCCTCCAGAGTAGCTGGAACTATAGGCACCCGGCCACCACACCCAGCTAATTTTTGTACTTTTAGTAGAGACTGGGTTTCGCCATGTTGGCCAGGCTTGTCTTGAACTCTTGACCTCAGGTGATCCACCCGCCTCTGCCTCCCAAAGTGTTAGGATTACGGTGTGAGCCACCACACCCGGCCAGTATACCTTTTCTTTTTTAAGGGCAAAGTAGCATGGGACTAAGGAGGTGGTAATAATCTGTGCTTGGTGGAAGAGAAAGAGGGCTGGTGGGGGACATGAGATTAGAAGGGGCAGAAAAAGAGAGCCAAAGGAGAGATTGGAGGTAACAGAAAATCCCCAGCCAGCCCAATGGGGATAAGGTCGGGGAGAGGCAGAGCCCAATGTGTGCAGGGTCATGCTGTGAGGCAGAAAGAATAAGGACAGAGTGTATGACAGATCTTGTTTCCATCCTGGTTAATTCAGCCCTCTGAGTCAGTTTCCCCATCTGTGAAGCAGGAATAGCAGCAGTTGTGGGGATTACAAATAATTAATCAAATTCAGGTATTCCTTGATATCTGAACTCTCTGTATCTGAATACTCATGACGATGGCTTGCAAAGTTTTACCTCTAATTTGCCGCCTTGATTGAATACCTGCCTGACCGGTCGACTTGTGTGCTAGTGACAACATTCATGTTGTGGGTGAGCCCTGTTGAGCGTTCTGTAGTGTGTACCGCAGCCCTGTCTCGGCTCTTTCTCCCTTTATCGGATTGTCCAAATGTGTTGAGCATCATTTGCTGGCATCTTCCTCACATTATAAGTGAAAGTATCTTCCACGAGATTGTAAAACCGGGAAGACAGTGAGTGAGCTTAGGTGGCCTGGAAACAGTCTTCATTAACAGAAAAAGCAGAAGTCATGAAGAGTATTAAGGGCAGGGGCATGTGCACAGAACAAAGCTGTCTATGTACGTGCCCATCACCCACGCCTGCGTCAGGCAGGCAAGCTATGATGACAAGAGAGTGTGGCCTTGACACAGCAGATTTGTCATAGGTAAAAATGCAATGACTGGAGCATGGTCCCAGGCTGTACAACTGTAAGCAGAAGAAAAGCAAACAGATGTGCACTTGGATTTCTTTTTTTAACCCAATGATTCATCTATGGCTTCAGATAATGGGTCAGAGCCATTTGCTCCCCGAATCTTAAATGTCAAAAAGAAAGGGTATTCCCAGTTCCTGGGATGTGGGCATGGACCAACCTCAGCCTCTCACCTACCACTTACAGCCACCACCTCCCCCTCTTGCCCCCGAACCTCACTCAGGAAACTATTGTATTGATTAGTGTGATTTTCAAATTGGCTTATTTATGTATTTCGTTATGCTAAGTGGCACTTGTAGTCAGTACATGTTTAATATACCATTTCAGTGTAATTAACATTACAGTACATGTTTATTGAAAGAAAATGTAATGTGCCTCTACCACTGTACAGTATCATTATGTATCAATTACATCAAATGAGGTCAATACTTTGTATTATGTAGAGATTGTAAGGCTTCATACTATGTGAAAATCCTTAGTAGTTTGTTAAATAGATGTTTAAGGGTGTTTTACTGCTATTCAGACAAATTGGCTGGGCTTTTTAGGTGGGCTGTGAATTCAATATTAATTTTTCTATTTAAAATAATGGAACGTAAGCTCCTTCTGTCCAAATTTTCTCCAGCTGCCTGGGAAGCCACAGTGGTTAAGGGGTCTCCAACTGTTCCAAAGAACAATCTGGAAGCTTCTACAGTGATTGAGAGGAGACAAACGCATCCTGGAGCTGTTAGTTAAATGACCTAAGGAAGCTAGTGTGCCAGAATCCCAAAATGTCAGAGGCAGGGGTATGGGGACCTTGGAGAGCAGGCAGGTCAACCCTCCCTGTCAGACAGAAGGGAAAACCGTGGCCCACCTGCAAAGGGACTGGCCCAGGGCTGCATGACGAACTGGTCATTAGGTGAAGCCAGATTTCCTGCCCCCAGTGCCAGTGTCTTTCCACTCATCTGGTCCATTTCAATTACTGATGGGGAAACTGAGGCCACAGAGAGCAATGACTTACTTGGCCAGGGTCAATCCACAGACGAATGGCAGAGTCAGGAATGAATCAGCATTGAGGCCTGTCACCATACTTAGACACCATCAAGCCCAACCTGGCACTCAGCTGTTGAGAAAGGAGGCCCAGAAAGGGGAGCAAGAGATGGCATTCCTACCAGGGTCTTGTTTTGCTGCCCCTGGTGTTCTGGGTTGGGTGGATGGAAGAGCAGATAGAGGTGCCATTCTCTGAGCCTGGGGAGAGGCATAGAGGGAAAGGATGATTTGGTTTGAATGGGCTGAGTGGGAGGTTCTTGAGGGACATCAGCCCCTGGGTGGTTGGAGCTGTGTCGGGGAGCGGGGGGGAATTGGTGTATGGGGCAGGAATTGAGGCAGGAAACAGGGTTCTTCAGAAATCCTGGGGTAGCAGACAGGTGATTCCAGAAGAGCCTCCGGATGCTGACTCAACAAAGTCCAGGATTTCTATTCAATTTGAATGGAAACTTGTGGATTAGGGAGTTCAATTCAAAATAAGAGGACGGAGCAGAGGAAGAAAGAGAACTAAGCCCCAGCATAGAGTGTCAGAACTTGAAAGGACACCCAACTTTTTACAGATTGGGAAACTGAGACTGGGAAGCCGCAAGGACTTATCCAAGAGCACGAGTCACAGTCAGGACCAGAACCAGCCCCTCCTGTCCAGCTGTCATCCCACCCACCCAATCTCAGCACATTGAGATTTTGCAACACTGACAGCTGGGCTGGCTGTGTTTTTTAGAATCTCTGTCAACAGAGGGAGCAGCTGGCTGTTTTCCAGAATCTGAGCCCTTTCATGGGTCTGCCTGAATCCCTGAGGTCACTCTTGGAGTTCAGGCTGTCACCAGCCCTCTCCTTCCACAGACCCTCCCGGTTCTTAGCCCTTCGTCCTGGTTCCCAGACAAGATTTCCTCCGCCCACTGGCATGCAGCTTCCCCAAGCTCCAGGGCTGCCCTCCCAGAACAGCAGCCCCAGAATAGCCCTGGCCAACTCACTTGGGCAAAATATGTATTCCAAGGAAGCTGAAGCCTTGAGGTTTCTAATTCGTTTCTTACTCACAGAATGTTGTTTCCTTTTTTAGAGCATGAACTCAGAGGACGCAGATTCTTCTTTCCATGAATAGGTTGTCTCCCAGGCACAGAATTCCAGGAACCAGCAGGGCCTTTCAAGGTTGTCTTAAAGGGAAGAACATGTCCCTTGCAGGGTGGCTGGAGCCAGCTCCAAGAATCTGAAAAAAATCATCTTGGCACCAAGTCTGATGCAACTCTGGACCCAACAGCAATCTTGGAGGATTTCCCACAACCTTAGTCACTCACCTTCAAATCATCCACACTGACTCAGACTCTCCTTCATTGAACAAATATTTATTGAGCACCTACTATGTGTCAAACCTCTTCTAGGCAATAGAACTTTTTTGATACAGCAGATTAAATAAACACAGTCACTGCAGTCAATAAATGAGTGTACCAAGAGGGGAATTGGAAAAGAGATTTTGGTACTATTTTATGTGTACATGGAATCAAGGGTGTTGGTGGATGGACCTGAGTTTGGTGTTGGATGGACCTGAGTTTAAACACACTCTGTTCTATGATCTTGGGTAGTCATTTGAATTTCTCTGAGCCTCAGTTCCCTCTATCCTTAGGTGGAAAAAAAAATTCCCACCTTATCCAGAATCAGTTAAATATAGAGTTAACCATATGACCCAGCAAGTTCATGCCTAAGTTGGAAAAGTTCATGCTTAATACGGGAAAAAAAAAAAAAAACATATTTTTTATCTTCCACACAAAAACTTGTACCTGAGTGTTCACAGCTGCGGTATTCATAATAGCCAAAAAGTAGAAGCAACTAAAATGTCTGTCCATCAAAGAAAAAGTAAACAAAATGTTTTATATCATACAATGGAATATTATTCAGCAATAAAAAAGAATGAAGTACCGATATGTGCTGAAACATAGATGAACCTTGAAAACATTATGCTACGTGAAAGAAGCCAGACCACATTATATGTTTCCATTTATGTGAAATGTTTAGAAATAGGCAAATCCATAGAGACAGAAAGTAGATTAGTAGTTGCCTCAGGCTGGGGGAAATGGAGGAATTAGGGTGTGATAGTGAAGGGGTGTGAGATTTTATTTCAGCGTGATGAAAATATTCTAAAGTTGCTTATGATGGGTGCGCAACTCTGTGAACACACTGAAAGCCTCTGAATTGTACACTAGATAAGTGAGTTTTATAGTATGTAAGTTACATATCATGAAGTTGTAAAAAGAAAAAAATCTTACCATGTGAGGCTCTTTGAGGATAAAATTGTAAGAATACAATGCACCTAGCCTAGTGTCTGGCACTTGGTACATATTCAATAGATGCTTTTATTCTGCTAATAATCCTTCACAGTTGGGCTTATACAAAAGGTTCAAATTATGTCCGTGTCCACGTACAGATGATAGAAGCTTTGGTCGTCCATGTTGTGCCTTGAGCAGACGTTCTTTCCTTACTCCCAGTGCCTGCCCTTTCTCTGCCTGTTCACATCCTACGTGTATCACAACCCAGCTCAGATGTCATCTCTTTGAAGCCTCCTTGTTGGTCCAGCTAAAAATCCTGGGGCATTTTTAGTGACCCTCAGAAGGGACATTCGGAGACAAGCTCTTGTCACTGTCTGGCTTGCTTCCAAATTCTTCTTGAACACACCATCTGTCCGTGTGTCCTGCTCTCTGCGTCCAGCGCCGTGGCACCGGGCACAGCAGGCGTGATCCTCTAACGAGTGTTCACACCACACATGCCCTGTCTTCCTTGTCACAGCACCTGCAGAGGGCAGAATTCTGAGATGGCTCTCCTGGCCTTTGCCCTCTGATGTTAATGTTTTGATTATGTGACATGGCTAGAGGAATTCTGCAGATGAAATAAGGTTACTAATCGGCAGACCCTAAGGTAAGGAGATGGGTGAGTCTAATCTATCATGGGAGTCCTTTAAAAGTAGAGAGCTTTCTTTGGCTAGTAGTAGAAAAGGCAGTCAGAGAGATTCAAGGCACGAGGCGATTTGGCTTGAGGCAGGTTTCCCCTTGCTGGGTTGGAGGGGCCGGCAGGCAGCCACTAGGAACAGAGTGGACCCCTGGCTAACAGCCAGAAAGAAAATGAGGACCTCAGTCCTATAACAAAGACCTGGATTCTGCCAACAACCTGGATTACCTTGAAAGCAGATTCCTCCCCTGAGCCTCCAGACAAGAGGCCAGCCCAGCCAACACCTTGCCTTTGACTTGAGAGACCCTACGCAGAGAACCCAGTTGACCCCAGTTGGACTTCTAACCTAAAGAAATAGGAGATGATAAATAGATGTTATTTAAAAATGCTAAGTGTATAATAATTTGTTGTGTAGCAACAGAAAACCAATGAGGCACGCATCTCTGGAAAGAAGTTTGATCCCTGTTTTTTAAGTGATGAGGCACAGAGAGCTATCGTTGCTTAGCCAAGATTGCACAACACATGAGTGACAGGCTGAGTCACAGCCCAGGGCAGGGGCCAGCAAACATATTTTGTGAAGGTCTAGATAGCAAATATCTAGGCTTTGTGGGCCATACAGTTTCTGTTATAACTATTTCATTCTAACATCGTAGTACAAAAGTAATATGTAAAGACTGTTCTAGTAAACCTTTTTAAATGCTACAGTTTAAATTTCATAACATTTCTGCACATAATGACATATTCCTATTTATTTATTTTTGAGACAAAGTCTTGCTCTTTCGCCCAGGCTGGAGGGCAGTGGCACAGTCTCAGCTCACCACAACCTCTGCCTCCCAGGTTCAAGCAATTTTCCTGCCTCAGCCTCTCAAGTAGCTGAGATTACAGGTGCCCACCACCACGCCTGGCTAATTTTGTATTTTTAGTAGAGCAGTAGGATTTCACTGTGTAGGCCAGGCTGGTCAAGAACTCCTGACCTCAAGTGATCCACCCTCCTCAGCCTCCCAAAGTGCTGGGATTACAGGTGTAAGCCACTGCGCCCGACCATTAAATACTCTTTATTTTCTTTAACCATTAAAAAGACGAGGAAACCATTCTTCTTAGTTGGCAGGCTATATAAAAAGCGGCAGTGGGTCATGTCTGTTCTGTGGGTCACAGTTTGCTAGCACCCCCCAGGTGCCCGACTTTCAGCCCAGGGCCCCCAGGTGCCTGATTTCCAGCCCAGGGCATCAGTGATTATCCATAGTGGCTAGTGGGGGTACAAAAGACAGTGGACACTGAGCCTCCGCGTCTAGGTCCCTGTTGTACTTCAGATTTGCTGTGTGACTTCAGGCAACTCACTTTCCTTTTCTGGGCCTATAAATCAAAGCAGGGTAATGGCGTTCAAATCTTTTCTCTATGCATCCCCCCTGCTCCCAGGGATTTTTCCAAAGCAAAGCTAACACAGAACTCTACTTTCAAAAGCTGACCTAAAGGGCACTTGCTCTGACTGGCTGGGAATGTGGCTGGGGTCCCTGCCCACTCCCTCTTATTCCACCCCCAGGAGCCTCAGAGTCTCTGTAGAATACAGTCTGCAAACCTTTGAACCAGCCAGTCTCTAAAACCTAACTAAGGCAGTCTAAACCAGGGATTCTCAACCCCAGGGCTTGACATCTGGGACCGGATAATTCTTTGTTGTGGGTGCCGTCCTGTCCTGTATTGTAGGTTGCTACTAGATGCCAGTGGCAACCTTCCCACCCCAAGCTGTAACAGACCAAAACTGTGTCTTGGGAGGGTGGAGATGGGCAACATTACCCCAGGTTGTGAACACTGGCCTAAGCCACCTCTTTCAGGAAACCAAACCACAGAATCCTTTCGCTATTTGATGTTAAAGAATGTGCTCAGAGATCCTTCCTTCCTTCCTTCCTTCCTTCCTTCCTTCCTTCCTTCCTTCCTTCCTTCCCCTTCCTTCCTTCCCTCTCTCTCTTTCTTTCTTTTCTATCTTCCTTTCTCCCTCTCTGTCTCTTTCTTTTTTTTTTTTTTTTTTACCACTTTGGGACACTGAGAAGTCACCTAGAAAAGGTGACCTGTAACCTGAGTTTTCAGGGAAGTACGTGACCTCACCAGGTGAGGAAAGGACCTTTGTGGCCAAGGTGTGGCATTGTCCCTGGGACACAGTAAACAGTGAACTCAGGGAGGATACGGTAGGGAGCACAGGAAGTGAAGCTGGGAGGTGGCCAGGGACTTGGTTAAAAGACTGCGGATGCTTGGAGACGGAGTTGTTATTCTGAGGGCGATGGGGGAGCCATTGAAAGGTTTGGCAGGTGAGGGACTGATGGATGCTGGTTTGGAAGCTTGAGCTGGTGTCTCATGATGGGCAGTCAGCTTGGGGCAGAGAGGCCAGTGAGAGGCAGGAGCAGTGACCCAGGCTGTCACAACGAGGGGACAATGTGGCAAAAATTAGAGAAATGCATACGGATCTGGAAGATTCAGACTGACATGGATTTCAGCAGCTCCTCTCCCCCGTCCCCACTTACTAGCTGTGAGCCCCAGGCAATGCACTTCTCTCTGAGCCTCCATGACTTAGCTGAGGCAACTAAATGGGAAGAGTGTGTGCCTGGTGACCTGTAATAAGTGGGTACAAATGGCAGCTCCCTCCCCTACACCGTTGAGGCAGAAGCTGATGACCCATTTTCTTTCTCTCTCTCTTTCTCTCTTTCTTTTTTGAGACGGAGTTCAATGGCGTGATTTCGGGTTCAAGCAATTCTCCTACCTCAGCTTCGCGAGTAGCTGGGATTTACAGGCATGTGCCACCATGCTCTGCTAATTTTTTTGTATTTTTAGTAGAGATGGGGTTTCTCCATGTTGGTCAGGCTGGTCTTGAACTGCCGACCTCAGGTGATCCACCCACCTTGGCCTTCCAAAGTCCTGCAATTACAGGTATAAGCCACTGCGCCAGTTTTCTCCTCTGAGTTGCCCAGGCGAAGCCAGGGAAAGTCTGAGTATGCTTGTTCAGAGAGGGTCACCAAGCTGCCTGGGCAGCATCGCTGACCTGATGCTGGGACCAGTTTCTGAAAGGTGGGGAAGAAGACAGCCAGAAAACCTGGGGTGGATTCCTGGATTTCAGTCAGCACTGGGGCCCAGCCCCTTCTGGTCCCAGCTGTACTGCATCCAGCTGGGTCATGAGCCAAGTGACACCTGGTCCCTACACACGGGAGGTCCCCATAAACTAGGGGAGACCCACAAATAGAGCCATCGTGTCATGCGAGGACAGACCCAGGCCAAGCCCTCAGACTCAGGTCTTATTAAATCCCAATAGCTACCCTAGGAAGGAGGTGCCATTGTCTCTGTTTTACAGAGAAGGAGGTGGCCAGAGTCTTCCAGTCTGAAAGTGGCTAAGGCAGGAAGGCACCGTGACTTGTCCAGTTCCAGGGCCTGAGCTTCCGGCCTGGCCCAGGGACTCAGGTTGCAGCAGGGCCTGAGGGTTGTGCTAGCAACACCAGCTTGTCCAGGCCTGGACCCCAACATCACCAACCTGTGACTCACTTCTGGGACTACACAGGCAGGGCGGGGAGGGTCTATTTTGACCAACGAGGGGCCCACAACACACACAGATGCCTGCCCTGCAGAAATGAGTGGAGCCAGGAGCCAAAAGCTCTGTGGCCTCGTTTCCCATTCATATCTCCCCTGAGCTCACAAGGGTGTGGAGAGGCCTGCTGGTGGCCTTCAGTCCCACCTCCAGATCGAGCAGAGCGAAGTCAAAGGAAGTCTGCCTGGTCTTTGTCTCAGCTCTGGAGACTTGCACAGACAAGCCTGTGGCCCTCTCTGAGCCTTAGTTTCCCGTGAGACGAGGACATTGATAGACCACACGCACAATGAAGATGAAAAGAGGTCCCGGGTAAAAGGACTTCACCTGTGGGAGGAGTTAGTCCCAGAGAGCGCTCATGTTCTTGGGGGGAATATTTCTTCAGAGACAGAGTTTGGGGCTGGGGTCTGGGCCCTGTGACTGACCTGCTCTGTGACCTGCAGCCAGTGGCCTCCCCTCTCTGGGCTTTAGATCCCTGCTGGCCAGGCTGATCCACCTTCTGTCCTTGGGCTGGGAAGAGAGTTAGTCACCCCCAGCTCACTGGGGAATCGAGGCGATGGCAAAGGCAAACTGGCCCCAGTCCTCCCCGCTTGCTGGAGTAGCAGGAAAAGGCAAGAACAAAACCCAGACCCCAGCTGGGCTTGGAACTGGCTTCCCTTGGCCCACATGAATTGGTCAGGTTCTCACCAGCCTGTGACTTTCTCCATGCTTTTCCTTCTGCCCAGAGGCTGCTATCCATTCCTACTCCCCTAAGATACTCAGATGGTCCCTCACAGAAGGATTCTTACACAAACACACACACACACACACACACACACACACACACACACACGCACAGGTAAACTTCAAGGCTCCCAAACCTTCTCACAGATTGTAAACACACACGCACACGCGCACACGCACGCACGCATGCACGCAGGTAACCTTTCCTCCAGGCTCCCAAATCACCTGTCCACAACAACTGCCTTCAGGAGCCGCTTAACCTGCATGCTTAAGGCATCAAATCGTCACAGAACTGTGTATTAGGGATTATCAGTCCTCCTTGATGGAGGAAGGTTTAGAGAAATGAGAAGTTAAGTCACACATCTCCAACCCCTCTCCGGGGCCTCCACTGGCTGGAGCAGTGACCCCAGTAGAGGGGAGTACTTAAATACTGCTTATTGTTGCTGAGAACGTCTCCAGGAACTGGGGTCTTGGTGGGCCGGGGAGGGTTTGCTCTCTGACTGCTGCGAAAAAGCCGGTTCCTTCAACGCAGTCTGCAGTAAACACCTCGGCAAGTGACTTTCCCCTCTTTGGGCCTCAATTTCCCTTTCTGTAAAATAGGGGTGAACAGGACTGGGCTCGGGACCCCTAAGTCCTGTCCGGCTGAGCGTCGATGACTCCAAGGAGTTTGGCTCCACCATTCCCAAGTCCGCCCCGGAGCGCTCGCGGGGGCGGGACGGCCCCCAGGACGCAGGGATCCGATCCTCGCCAAGCCGTTCCGGTCAGCAGCAGCCCCGTCGCTCCCCCGGCCCTGCCGCGCTGGGAAGCCCCAGTCCCCGCCAGCCCAGTCGCGCTGGCGCTTTAAGGTCGGGCGAGGTGGGCTGGGCGACAGCGCTAGACACCTGGAGCTGCCCGGAGCCGGGGCCACCCGGAGTCTCGGCGGGACCAGGCGGCAGGCGAGGACGTGCAGCAGAGGTGGGGCGGGCGCGGTCAGCACCGGAGTGGAGAGAAGGCCTGGGTCCCGCGCGCCCCTGGGAGCCCTGCCGCAGCGGCAGAGCCCGGCGGGGAGCGCGCAGCCCTCGGGGCCGGCGCCGGGGGTGAGGCCGGGCTCGGGTCCCTCCGCACCCGGCACTGGCGGCCGAGAGGGCGCGGCTGGTGAGGCCTGGACGGGCCCGGGAGCCCGGCCTCGCTTTTGCGCGCTGAGAAGCAGGGGTGGGGGCGGCGGCCAGGGCCTCCCCCTAACGCCCCCGCCTCCTGCAGACCCGAGGGTCGCTGCCGGCAGGGTCGCTCCGCCCTGGCGTTCCCCGCCACCAGGCCTTCACCCGCACCCAGCTCCCCGCACGCCTGGACAGCTCCTGCCACCCGCCGCGCGATGGCCCTGCCCCAGGTGGGTGGAAACGGCCTTCTCTCTCCTTCGCAGGCACTCGGCCTCTTCTACCGCCGACTCTGCCTCTATCCCTTCCCCTAACCTCGGCCACGGTGGCTTGGTGGGCAAAGTGTGGACATCCCGGGCTCTGCCTCATTTTTATCTTGCTGGGTGGCCTGAGGCCATGGCACTCAGGGCCTCAGTTGGGAGTGGTTTGGGAAATTCTTGTTAGGACGGTTTCATCTTTACAGAAAGTGGCATCTAAAGTGCCCTTATTGGGCCTGGTGGGGTGGCTCACCCCTGTAATCCCAGCACTTTGGGAGGCCGAGGCGGCAGATCACTTGAGGTCAGGAGTTCGAGACCAGCCTGGGCAACATGGCGAAACCCTATCTCTACTAAAACCACAAAAATTAGCCGGGCATGATGGCCGCCACTGTAATCCTAGCTGCCCAGGAAGCTGAGGCAGGAGAATCACTTGAACCTGGGAGGCAGAGGGTGCAGTGAGTCAAGATTGTCTGACTGCACTCCAGCCTGGGAGACAGAGCAAGACTGAGTCTCAAAAAAAAAAAAAAAAAAAAAAAGTGCCCTACTTGGTATGGAGTAGGGCATGGAGAATGGCATAGGCTGTGCCCTGGCTCAGTGCGGGAGTGGGCGCAAGAGGGAGGCTCTGTCCTCCCAACTCTCCTGACAGGAGCAGGGCCTTTCTACTAGACTTTTACGGAAGATGCTGCCCACTTACCAGGGGCAGATAATAGATGCAGGCTGGCCCTGCCACCAGTGAGCAGATAGGGCAAAATGAAGGGCAGGGACAGGCACTGAACACTGCTGTGGAAATAAAAATGATCCTAATGAGATTAAATTTTATCTTAATATATTCTCATTCTCAGGAGCAATAGAGTGTTATTGTGCCCATTCCCAGGGGAGGGCACTAAGGCATGGAGAAGCAAGATCCTGCCAGAATCAGAGCAGGGTGCATCCTCGGTCCAGCCTTGTGTCCCCATGCCTCACTTACAGCCTGCCGTCTTGCCATCGCATTTTCATAACCTGCTTTCCCCTTGATTTGAACTTGGAGATGCTGAGCAGCCTGCCTGAAGTCCCTGAGCTAATGGGGAATGACCACTGTAGTCAGAGGGAGTGATCAGCAGAGCCATCTGATTCCTGGAAAGCCCGCCTCTGGCTGGAGGGAGGTGGGGGCAGCCGCAGTTGACAGACTTCTGGGAAGGGGTGAAATGAGGGCCCTGGATGGGAGCAGAGGATGCTCCAGGTGGAGGGAGCACAGGTCTAGTAGAGGCTCCAGGTGAAAGGAGTTTGGGTGAGAACACCCTGCTGATAGTGACATCCCTGATCTATAATAAGGAAAACAACCACGGCATGGTGGAACAGGCTGCCCTTCATCCAGTGGACATTGACCTTCTCCACCCCACCCTCCCCCAGGGTGGCAGGTTAGCATGTGCCCTGCCTCCTGGGGGGATCCACATGAAAGGAGTGAGACTCACACAGAAAATCACGCTGACCCCATGTGAAAACATGCAAAGGGCAGTTGCAGGGGCTGGTCTGAGGCCTGGGAGGAGCTAAGCTGGGAAGGAGGGCCATGCATTCTAAAGATGGAGTGTGGTCGGGCATGGTGGCTCACACTTGTAATCCCAGAATTTTGGTAGGCCGAGGTGGGTGAATCATGAGGTCAGGAGTTCGAGACCACGCTGGCCAACATGGTGAAACTCCGTCTCTACTAAAAATACCAAAAAATTAGCCAGGCATGGTGGTGGGCGCCTGTAATCTCAGCCACTCAGGAGGCTGATGCAACAGAACCCCTTGAACCTGGGAGGCGGAGGTTGTGGTGAGCCGAGACCACGCCACTGTACTCCAGCCTGGGTGACAGAGCAAGACTCCATCTCAGAAAAAAAATAACAATAATAAAAATGAAGAATGGAGCTGCGTGTGCCAAAGACAAGTGCATCTATTCATAGCACAATCTCAATTTTCTTTATGAAAAATAGCGATAGACCTAGCTGTGCACACACATAGGGATTTGACTCAGACTAGAGCTGGGTCCAAGTCCAGCAGTCACCCTTGTGGACAAACCGTCACCCTATTGTGGTCACCAATTGTGGACAAATTGTCGCCCTAGTGGCCACAGTGTCTTTAGGACACAGTGCTGTTGTGGGGATTAAGTGAAGGGATAGCTGTAAAGAGCTTGGCATGGCGTCCAGTCCAGTGAATGCCCAGCCTAATAAATGTACAGCACACATCTGCTGCTGTCATCATCCTGTATGCAGGACACGGGGCAATGAACAGGAAGCAGCCACCTGGGGATCCTGCTCATCTCTGAGAGCCAAGATTAGTGGTGATTTGTACTTTACTTTTTTTTTTTGAGAGAGAGAGTCTCACTCTGTTGCCCAGGCTGGAGTGCAGTGGCATGATCTTGGCTCACTGCAACCTCCGCATCCTGGATTCAAGTGATCCTTGTGCCTCAGCCTCTCAAGTAACTGGGATTACAGGCGTCCCCCAGCACGCCCAGCTAATTTTTTGTATTTCTAGTAGAGCTGGGGTTTCACCATGTTGTCCAGACTGGTCTCAAACTCCTGGCCTCAGGTGGTCCACCCGCCTCGGCCTCCCAAAGTGCTGGGATTACCGGCGTGAACAACCACGCCCAGCCTGTATTTTGCATTTTTACTCTCTTCTGTGGTTTTCTCATTTTTCCACAATGAGCAGAGACTATTGTTTGATGGACAGTAAAAAGCAGCGTAGGTTGCCCCATGCAGGCCTGCCTAGCTGTGAGCTCCTTGAGTGCTGAGAACCCTGCTGTATCTGGCTTTGGGCAAGGTCCTTCGCCTTTTTGGGCTCACTCTCCTCATTTGTAAAATGGGAATTTTCCTCTGGCCTGCCCACCCGTGGGGAGGCAGGTGTGATACTGGGTGTGAAGGGGACTGTTGAGTACCGTAACATACAGGCAGGGGTTACTGTTCTTGATTTGCTTGTGTGTCTTGTTTTTTGAATTTTTTTCCCCCACAAACAGGTTTCTCCTCTTGACGGCCTCTCCTAGCTCTTTGACTTTGAGGATGGGGGGGCAGGGTAGTCAGAATTTTTTTTCTCCCTCCATGAAAATGCTTTGAGCTGGAGACAGGAGGCACTTGCCCCCTAGACAGAGTCACAGGAAGAGAGCTGCAGGTAATTTATAAATGGAATTCTCTATATGCGTCTAGAAGTCTTGGGGTTCAGAAAGATTGAGGTCCACTCCCAGAGCACTGCTTTGTATACATTTTCTCTCTCTCTCTCTCTCTCTCTCTCTCTCTCATACACACACACAAGCACACACACACACACACACACACACGTGTGTTTTTAAACACATCTGGTAACATGCCCTTTTGAAATCTAAAGCTTCATCTACTACATCTTGAACATTTGCCACGCCCTTCAGCCCCTATGGGATCATGCCTTAGAGCGGCTGCACAGCAGTGTGTCATTTGGATCTATTGCCGTTTGGCTGAGCAAGCCCCACTTGGGAGGGATTTCTGATCACTGAAGCATCGCTTTAAGGTCTGTGGCCCCACTCCCTGCTTCACAGGCTGAGCCTCAGGAAGAGGAGACAGTTCTTCTGCAAATCCTCCTAGCAGCCCCCTAGAGAGCCTACCGTTTATTCAATGAGGAAGCTGGCCTGGGGCAGGTGAGAGGCTTACCCCATGATACAGCTACAGAGAGGGGGACCAAAGCTGGGACTATCCTTCATGTCCCTGTGGCTGCGGCAGCTGGAATCCTGCACTGCCTCCTCTCTCCCAGCTCTTCACAACTGTGAGGGTGGATTTTCACCCAACCAGCATTTATTTATCCAGCAACACTTTCCCTTGGATCAGAAGATTTATTGAGCAGCTATTATGTGCTAAGCACTGAGGGGATATAGTGGTGAACACGGCCAAGATGGACTTTGCACTCAGGGAACTCACAGCTGGGGGAGTGGGACAGGTGAAGCAGAAGTTAAACACAGGTTTCTGCTGTGGCAAAGGTGGCCCAGGGCACTCGGGGGTTTCAAGTTAAAGTGTCTTCAGAGAAGGCTTCTGTGGTGAGGCCGAGCTGAGCCTTAAGGGGAGTTAATGGGAAGTTACAGGTACAGGGAATGGAAGGTACAATGGGCAGCCTAGAAATTGGCTTTGGGGACAACCCAGATCTAGGTTTCAGCCTCCTACGTCTGTGATCCCGGGCCAGGACCCTTCCAGCATTCCCCCTGTGCATAGTTCTATGAGACAGCACTGTATGCATAATTTAGTATACTGAGTTGAAGAAAGTAAGATACGATGTTTCTTCCTCTTGTCAAACCTTTGTGCTGAGCTTGATGTTTAAATAGGCTAATATTAATTGTTGAATCTAGAGATTATGCCATAGTTTACCCGTCATTTCTTTATAATTGCACATTTTAGCACTTTCCAATTTATGACCATTATTAATAAAGCCACGATGAACATCTGTGTGTGTGTGTGTGTGTGTGTGTGTGTGTGTGTGAGACAGAGTCTTGCTCTGTCACCCAGGCTGGAGTGCAGTGGTACGATCTTGGCTCACTGCAGCCTCCACTTCCCAGGTTCAGATGATTCTCCTGCCTCAGCCTTCCAAGCAGCTGGGATTATAGGTACGCGCCACCAAGCTCAGCTAATTTTTGTATTTTTAGTAGAGATGGGGTTTTGCCACGTTGGCCAGGCTGGTCTCGAACTCCTGACCTCAGGTGACCGCCCACCTTGGCCTCCCAAAGTGCTGGGATTATAGGCGTGAGCCACTGTGTCGGGCCCGGTGAACATCCTTTTCCACAAAGTTTTGCTCCATGTTGCGAGTTTCAGCTTCAGACTCTTCAGCGCCCCCTCTTTCTCAGTTGCTCTGGGTCTTGGTATCTTCCTCTGTTCAATAACAGTGTCCCTCTCTCAAGATTGTGACCAGATGAAGCCAGGCATGCATAACCAGCAAGCCCTGATCCTGGCAGGCCTAGAGGTTCCAACACGGGTTCACTTTCCTCTGTCCCAGCTCCCTGTGAGGTAGTCAGCGTGGAGAGTCTTAGACCCACCAGGCAGACGGAGCCCCTGAGGCCTGGAGAGAGGCCCTGAGTGAAAGTGAACTTACTGAGTGAAAGTGAAAGTGAGCTTACTTACTGAGCTCCTGCGATGTCCCCCGATTTCCCAGGCCTGGTGCTGATCGGGCTTATCTCTGACCTTCTAAATAGCCTGGCAAAGTCAGGACATCATCTCCACTTCAAAGAGGAGGAAACTGAGGCTCAGAGGAGTTAAATGACTTCTCCAAGTTTGTGCAGTGACCTCAGGCAGCCGAGGATTAATAGCTGCCCTCCAGCACCCTTCGTATGGCCCATTTTCTCTTCTCTCTCCTTCTCTGTGTCCAGATGTGTGATGGGAGCCGTGTGGCCTCCACCCTCCGCTATTGCATGACGGTCAGCGGCACAGTGGTTCTGGTGGCTGGGACACTGTGCTTCGCTTGGTGGAGCGAAGGGGATGCAAGCACCCAGCCTGGCCAGCTGGCCCCGCCGACGGACCACCCGGTGCCCCAGGGCCCCAGCCCCCTGCTCAGGTCGGTCAGCTTTGTCTGCTGTGGTGCAGGTGGCCTGCTGCTACTCATTGGCCTGCTGTGGTCTGTCAAGGCCAGCACCCGGGGGCCACCCCGATGGGACCCCTACCACCTCTCCAGAGACCTGTACTACCTCACTGTGGAGTCCTCAGAGAAGGAGAGCTGCAGGTCAGTAGGGCAGGGTGGGGCAATGGGTGGGGACCGCAAGTAGGGGCCAGTCACACCAGCCAGCATTTGTAATCCCAGCAAACTCTCATGGCATTCCTCCTTTGGATCAGGCCTTGCCCTGTGCCCTGGGTACATGAAAGCTGCTCAGTACAGCCCTGAAGGAGTTTTTAGTCCCATGACAGAGGCTGATGATGACCAACTGGAGTAGGTAGTGCTGTGAGAGAGAGGCCTGTCTTCTAAGACATGGAGAAACCCAGGAAGGCTGCCTGGAGGAGGTAGCAGCTGAGCCCAGCTTTGTATGGGACAGAATAGCAGAGGGTTAAAAGCCTAGTCACAAGACTCAGAGTCAGATCCACTGGGACCCTGTCCTGGCTCTATCACAAACTAGCAGTGGGGCTTTGAGTAGGTCATGCAATCCCCCTAAACTTTAATTCCTCATTTGAAATAAGTAGGACTAATAGCAACAGCAATAATAGCAAATACCTCTGCAGTGCTCGCCACGTGCCAGGCACTGTTCTAAGTTTTCCTCTAAACTGACTCATCAGATCCTTACAGCAGCCCTCCGAAGGTAGGCACTGTTACGAATTCCATTTGTAGAGGAGGAAACGAAGGCATGGGGACACTAAGTCACTCCCCCAAGGACATCAGCTAGTGTGTGTCAGAACTAGGACCTGAACCCAGGCAGTCTGGCCTCAGAGTCTGTTCATGCCCACTCCCTACTTCAGGTGACGCTTGGGAAAATGAAATGACATATGTATGTTGAGCTTTAGCCCAGTGCCTGGCACACAGTAGGTGCACAACAAATGTCAACTTTTCCTCTGGTGGACACGGTGGAGAGAGGCATTTTAGGGAGGCGGAAGAGTGTGCACAAAGGTGTGGGGTTGGGGACAGAGTGTTGCATGAAGACGGTCTCTCTCAACCTTTGATTTTCACTGTCGGTCTTCCCACCCTGCCTTGCGTCATCCTTCTTAGACTTTTTTTTTCTAAATCCCCCTCCACGAAATTGTAATACCCAGGTGCACTGCATATTTATGTTCTATATGCATATCTGTGCTTTATACATAAAAAGAGTGTAACTCTTCCCAAGAACCAGTGTTTGTCCTGTTGAGAATGCATGCATCATACATGCCCTTTTATGTACTTATTTATTCAACAAAGTGTGGGGTGTGCCCGTGTGCCAGGGGCCTGCGTACATTATCTCCTGTCCTTCCGATTGCCTCCAAGGTAAGAATGACTGTTGTGTCTGCAGAAATGGAAGGGGAGGCATAGCTAGAAAGTGGCAGGAGCCTGCTGGCTTCACAGCTGACATTCTTCCTCCCACCTCGCTCCTAAGATCTGGATCCCTGGGTGTGAGGGGCTAAGCCAGACTGCCGTGAGCTGACTTGGGACCTGGGACCCGGATGCTGTTCTCCCCTGTGTTAAGTAAGAGGGAAAATGCATTCTGAGTTAAAGAATGTAGGAGCATTCCCGCCACCAACCTGTGACTTCTTAGAGCTAGAGATGGTGCAGAACAGTCGGCCCTCTGTGTCTGTGTGTCTGCATCCATGATTCAATCAACCATGGATCCTGGTTGGCACACAGTAGGTGCACAGCAAATCTCAATTTTTCCTCTAGTGGACATGGTGGGAAAGAGGCAGTCTCTGGTGGTGCCAGCTGTGGGTTACTTCAGGTCGGAAGCAAAGCCTTCCTGGGCAGATGGCTTGGGCAGGTCCCTTCTCCCCTTGGGCCTCGGCTTCCCCATTTATTCATCTACTTATTCTTTCACTCATGTACCAAATATTGATCGAGCATACGTAGGTGTGCTGGGTCCTATCCAGACAGGATCCATGAGAAAAGAATTAATGTCTGTGCTAAACATATACAAACTTTCGTTTCTTGTCATCATTCCCTAAACAATATAGCATAACAAGAATTTACACAGCATTTACATAGTGTGAGATATTTCAGGGCCTTGGGGATCCTCCAGCCAAACCCTTCACTTCTCAGATGAGAGACCTGGGTCTCAGAAAGACCACGTGACCTACCTGGTCATGCAGTGAGTTAGTGGTCAGTTGGAACCAGGCCGGGCCCCAGATGCTCTGGACCAGAGCCTGCTCCTCCCAGCCAGCCAGGCGTGAGTGCAGGGGTGCGTGTTGCCTGTACACACAGCCATGTTGACGCAACAGGGTCTAGGCACAGCTGCGTCTGGCAGGTGGGGCCCCTTGGCCTTCACTTGCAGTGGGCCAGGGAGGAAGCCCGCCCAGGAGGCCACAGGGTGCCCCCTAGCCCATCAAGCTCCAAGACCCAAGTCGTAGACTCAGAAACTGGGTGACTGGGGGTCGAGGAGGCTGCTTCTGCTGCGGCGCTCTTTCCTGTCCCGAGGCTGACCCAGCCCAGCTGCCTGCAGAGCCCAGCGTCTGGCCCCATGGGCGGCTGCTCTACTATTCCTGGTCCCAGGCACCTCAGTCTCTGGTGGTGCCCGCTGTGGATAACTTCAGGTCAGAAACAAAGCCTTTCTGGGCAGATGGCTCCGACAGGTCCCTTTCCCTCTTGGGCCTCATTTCCCCATGTATTCATCTACTTATTCTTTCATGCTTGTACCTAATATTGATTGAGCACACGTAGGTGTGCTGGGTCCTACTCAGAGAACTGACAGTACCACAGCGGGCAACACAGACAAAACTCTGCCCTCAGGAAGCTCATCTCTTCAGTGTAAGTCCCCTTAATGAGGCAGCTGGAATGGGGCTTCCAGCAGTCCCTGCCCTTTCTTTTATAAGGCGGGAGTCCTTAAGGATGTTACCTAGACCCTCTGAGATGTGTCTGATGCCCCATCTCTCAGTGGGGGTGACAGACCTTTCCCCTGTGGTCGCTGTCGGGCTCATATGGGGTAGAGTTAGGGAAGCGTGTGCTCTGTAGCTGGTGCACACATCCGCTTTCTCTGCCCTTCCTGTTTTAGTTTACAGTGAGCTCTCTTGCCCACTAATTGATTTGAGCCTCAACTGCTTATCAGGTAAATGTAAGGACTGGGTCCTTTTGACAGCTGAGAAAACTGAGGTGAGGAGAGATGAGGTGGCTTGGGGGAGAGGTGTGACAGGTGGACTTAGCTTGAGCTTTGCAGTCAGACAAAGCTGGGGCTTTGCCACTGAGTTGACACGTGACCTTTACTCATCTGTAAAATGGGTGCGGGCCTCTACCCCCCAGGTAGAGGTCGTGAATAAGAAGATTCCAGCACTGAAGTGTTAGGCAAATTGTATTCCATCCCTTGTCCCACTTCCTGGCTTTGCCTGACTCCACTGAAGGGTAGTGGAGCTGGCACCAGGCCCAGGTCTCCTGCTCCAAGCAGGCTCCAAAGAGTGGGGTGAGCCCTGGCCTCCGTGGCACTTCCTATGTGGGGAGACCACCATGGCCCCACGCAGCTGCAGAGGTGCCACATCCAAAGGCACCGAGAATGGGGACCTGCTCCCAAAGGGGTGCCACATGGCTGCCCTGCTCGCTGAGTTCCTGGCATCCTTGACGGTGACCTTGGTGACTTGGAGCTAGGCCGGCCCAACTGGCCACTAAGGTGATAGAGGTGGTGTGAGGGCTGCTTCACATCTGTCCTCTAAGTAAACTTCCTGCTGTGAGCAGAGCTCATGGGCACCTGTGCCCTGCCCTGCCAGCTGCCACCTGCCGGGGTGGCCCTGGGCCTATCCAAAGCCTGTCTCAGGTGTCCAGGGCTCCAAGCATGGCCGGGGCATGGCCGGGAGGTGAGCAGTCAGGAGATGGGTCTTTGGAAGCTAATTATTCACACTTTTCTGATTGTTGTGAAACATTTTTTTTCCCCGTTTTTTCTTCCCCTGAATCTGAAAGGGGAATTATTATCCCCATTTTACAGATCAGGAGAAAGAGGTTCAGAGAAGGTATGAATGTGGTCCAGGTCACACAGCAAGAGAACTCAATTTGTCTGCCTCCAGGAGCAATATTCTCTGTCCTGCCCACATCTGCAAGGATACTGGGAGCTCAGAGGAGGATGAGGACAGGCACCTCTCAGCTTCCTGGGCTGTCTTCCAGAGAAGGAAGGAAGGTCTGAGAGTTCACAGGGGCACTGGACAGGGAGTTTCATGTTTGGGACTCCTGGCTGGTGCCCTGCCCTGTACTGACTTACAGGCTGGGTTTCAAATCCAGGATCCCATCAGTCTGTTCCATCACCCTGGTCTGTGGCTGGGAGCAGTGAGGTTCAGCAGGCTGCTGTGAGGCTCAGAAGACACGTTGCTGGAGAAAGGCCACGTCCCCGGTGGGTGCTGGGTATTCGGCTGTGGGGCAGCAGCAGGTTCCCAGCAGGGACCCCTCCGTCAACCCTGGGGCTAAGTCCCATGTACTGCCTCTTCTGTTCCCTAGACTGGCCTCTTGCCATTGGCCCCTCCTTGATCCAGGCAGTAGGACCACAGGTTTGGATTAAACTGCTTCCCAGCAGCTCCAAACCCACAAGCCTGGCAGGTGATTTGGCCTCTCTGAGCCTGTGGGGCCTGCCATGCGTGAGGCCTGGGATAAGCTTTGCTCCCCCACCCATTCCCCACAGGAGCCCTTTGAGATTCTGTTCATGACCCCACTTACATCACAGGCATTGAGTGCCGCCCTGTGTGAACTCATTTAACCTGCCCTCTGTCTGTGAGGCAGGTGCCACTATTGTCCCCCATTACAGATGAAACCAGGCCCCCATGAATGGAATTACTGATCTCTGAGCCCCGATCTCCCAGCAGGAACGTGGCTGAGCAGGAAGGTGAACCAGCGAGTGCCCAGACTCACAACCACCCTTAGTGTTGGAAGGGACCTTCAGAATCACCCCCAAAGCAGGAGCAGCCCACATCTAGGATCAGTGACATTCCCACCCCACTCCCCACTGAGTGTCCCAGGTGGGGAAGGGGCATTGGATCCCTGGAGACGACCCACCAGGGATCTGAGGGCGCTGACGGCCAGTCTCATTCCTGTCAGCTGGCTGGGGCGTGGGTGATCTGCCTCCGGGTCTGTCCTCCAGAACCTCGGTCAGCGAGCCTCAGAGGACCTGGTCTCTGCCTCAAGCCCCTGTGGGGTGGTTTAGTTGGCCAGGGGTTGTGATAAGAATAGAGTCACAGGACAGCAAAACTGTCCAGAGGTAGAACTGGTTGACCTGGCAAGTGGTAAGTTCTTCATCCCTGGAGGTATGCAAGCAGAGATAATCACTTGGCAAACATCAATCCTATCAAAGTGTAAAGCATCCAGATGGGCAGAGGAATTGAGGTCTTTCATTCTGCCCTGAGCACCCCAATTCTGATCTTGTACAGGATATTTTAATAGGTGTGAGTCTTTCTGTCCGTGGACCATCACTCAGTCTTTCAACAAACACCCCTCAGCCCCTGGACTCTCAGTCACTGCCCTAGGGTAAGACTTTGCCTGCAGAGAGGACTGAGGAGGCACAAGGAGGTTTTGGGGACACATACAGGGAACTAACTCTATTGAGCAGGGAGAGGGTGGCGGGAAGACTGAGGGCCGCAGGAGCTGGCTCCTGCCAAGTTTCAGCTATGTATATGGGCCCCTGGGGACCCGCAAACGCTTGGAGCAGGGTGTGAAGCCTTTTCCACCCCCAGCCTTCCTCATTGTCTCCCTGGCAGGCAGCAGCTCTGCCCCAGCCCCTGCCAACAGCCTCTCTTCTGTTTCCACAGGACCCCCAAGGTGGTTGTCATCCCCACTTACGAGGAAGCCGTGAGCTGCCCACTGGCTGAGGGGCCCCCCGCGCCACCTGCATACCCTACAGAGGAAGCCCCAGAGCCACGTGCCTCGGGGGATGCCCTGCTGGGCACCCAGCCCCCCTGGCCTCCGCCCAGCTATGAGAGCATCAGCCTTGCTCTTGATGCCATTTCTGCAGAGACAACAGCAAGTGCCGAACGCGCCTGCTCAGGCCTGGCTCAGACTGCAGCAGGGGGAAGTTAAAGGCTCTGCAGCGGGGGGATGTTAAAGGCTCCTACCGGGCCCTGAATCCAGAGTCAAAAGTGCTGTGCCTCTACGGAGCCTCGTGCAGTGCCTGGGACACAGTAGGCACTCAACAAATGTTCGTTCGAAGGCTGTTCTATTTATCTATTCCTGTATAACAAGCCACCCACAATTTAGTGACTTAAATCCCATTTTATGATGTCTCAGGACTCTATGAGTTGCCTAGGTCCAGCTGGGGCGGTTCTGCCCTCTGTGGCATGGGTGGGGCTGCAGTCCTCAGGGGCCCAACTGGCCAGAACGTTCAGGGTGGCACTCCTCTGGCCAGCAGTGAGCGCTGGCTGTCAGCTGGGAGGCTGCGTGCAAGCGAGAAGGCGGGCCCGCGGCAGAGGCAGAGCTGTGCGCACATCACATTTCTAACCAGAAGAGCATGGCTTCGAATCCACCCACCTATGCATAGGCTCCACCGCGCACCTTTTTTTTTTGAGGCAGGATCTCCACTGTGTTACCCAGGCTGGAGTGCAGTGGCTCAATCATGACTCGCTGTAGCCTCTTCCTCCCAGGCTCAAGCGATCCTCCCACCTCAGCCTCCCAAGTAGCTGGAAACACAAGCATGCCCAACTCATTTTTGAAAATTTGTTGGAGGGAGGGAGCTTGCTGTGTTGCCCAGGCCCGTCTGAACTCCCAGCCTCCTGAAGTGTTAGGATTACGGACGTAAGCCACTGTGCCTAGTCTACCATGTACCATCTTAGTGACTTGGACAAGTGACTTTCCCTCTCTCTGCTTCAGTCTCCTCACCTGTAAAATGGGAATTGATTCCCTCAAAGAGCTGATTTGTGAAGAATCAATTAGATGATAGCAACTGACGTGTGAATGTGAATTCACAGTGAGGCTGCAGTCAGTGGCTCCGTGCTACGGCACCAGATAATAAAGGCAGGGGTCTCAGCCCTGAGCCAGGTAGTAAGTATGCAGTCATTGTCAGTCCTGTTAGTAGAGGTAACCCTCCTCCACCAAGTGCAAATTCGGCCTCTGCTCCCATACCTCCTGTGACGGGAAGCTCGCGACTCTCGCTCATTTTGCAGATATGGCAGAAACATCGACTTCTGACCAGCTCCATTCTGCAGCCCGTCTCTAGCCCACCCCACTTCCATGAAAAGAGGTGAAGTCACCTTCCCAGGGTCACACTGCCAGCAGGGGTCCAAAGGCCTGGGGCTTAGTCAGCTGGAGAAGGGTATCATCTGCAGAGCCTACTGTGTGCTGGGCCAGGTCCTCTGCCATTGTGTCATCTTTAAAGTGCCCTGCGGCAAGTGGTGGTGTCAGCATTTAACAGGTGAGGAACTAGCCTCGGAGAGGTAAAAATTTCAGACAATAAAGTCACAGCTGGAGGCGTGGGGTCCTCCCTCCTAGGCTGCGTCATTGTCACAGTAGCCACCATCTAATCTGGTCTTGGTCTCTCTGCTTCTCCTGGAGGCTCCTGCAGTCTCTTCTCTGCCCAGCAGGCAGAGTGAGGTGTTCAGACCCAGGTCAGATCATGACCCCTACCCCCACAGCCAGAACCTGGCGTGGCTCCCAGCTCACTTTGAATAATGAAAGCCCAGACACTGGTCTGGGGAGAGGGGGGCTCTGAGGTCTGGTCTGAGCCTGTCCTCTCTCCTGACCCTCTCATCTCCTGCCACTCCTCCCCCTGTTCTCTGCTCCAGCCAGTCTCACTGAGGCCCCCGCACTGGCTGTTCCCTCTCTCCTGAAATGCTTCCTGGGGGCTGGCTCCTCAGAAACTGGGGCTCTTTTCTGATCTTCTCCCTCCCCCATCACTAAAACCTGGATCCCTCCTGTGCCCCCTCCCTTCCTGTCCTCTACAGCCACTGCTTTGCCCTCCCCTTCTTGGTATTAACTCAGGACAATCTAGGAGTCTGGAGGCGTAGGTGTGAAGTGACCTTAGGCTGGGGACACACACACACACACACACACACACACACACACACACACGGACAGGCGGGTTAGGTGAGTTAATGAGTGGCCAGTGTGACCAGGAGGCACCACTTTACTGGGCAGGTGCTAAAGGGACGAGGGTGGGGAGGGCCGGAGGCACAGAGAGACCTTTCCTGCCTTTCTCTCCGATCCACTCATCTGTGTCCTAACCGGAAGCCCACAGGAGGGTCCATGACTTGCTCAAGGTCAACAGCGTCATGGAAGAGGCTGAGTCAGGGCTGCAGAGGGAGACAGTCTCCTGACCAAGCCATGTTACTGTCCCCTTCCAAGCCGAAGTGGCCCCGCTGTGAACGGGGCTCCTTGTGCCCACGGCAAGGTGCCTAACCATGGAGCGACATGAGGGCCAGCTCTGCCACTCTGCAGCCACATGAAGTGCCCCAGCTGTGCCACTCTGCAGCCCCCAGGAAGCACCAGTTTGCTTGCTGGCTTCTTTCCTCTTGGACCCAACCATCCAGTTTCTTCACCTACTATTCAAACCACATCTTTTGCTGGCCACCAGAGTCTCAGATGATAGGGATCCTCAGAGTTCAGGCTCTCCCAAGCTTTCCTTGGGTCCCTCCCGGGCTTCTGTTACCTGCCGGGTGGGCTGGTGATTTCTGCACCTGGAGCTCTCCACCTTAAATCAGCCCACCCCAGTCAGAAATCCCTATGCTCCTCCCTCAATGTCTCATTACTGCTCACTGGGATCTTTCTCTCTCTCATTGAAAAATTAAAATCTGGTTCTGGTCTTTCCCCTGCAACCTCATCTAACCTCTGTGAAAAATGTCGGAGACCTTAGCCCCAGGAGGTTTCCTGCCTGCGTTTCCTCTCCAGCCTCCCTCTCCCAGGCAGGCAGATTCCATTCCTCTGTTCACACTCACATCCAGAGCCTACTCTGTCCCAGCCCCTGGGAATACAGCAGTGCTCTAAACAAAGTCCCTACCCTGTGGGGGCTGGAGTACTAGTTAGGGAGACAGAGACAAGAGACAAGATCGTCATGTATATGTATGATAGGTGGCTGTGAGCACCACGGAGAAACGTGGGGAAAGGAATACGGGGAACCCCTGGGGAGGCAAGTCTGCAGTTTTAGAGCAGGATCAGGGAAGGCCTTACGGTGAAGGCAACATTTGGGCAAGGGCCTGAAGGAGGGAAGGGAGGGAGCCTTGCAGCTATCTGGAAGAACAGCACTCCAGGCAGAAGGAACAGCAGGTGTGGGGCCCTGGGGTGCCTGTGTGTTCCCGGAGCAGCATGGGGCCAGGGTGGTGGAGTGGGTGAGTGAGAGGGGGCGTGGCAGGAGTGAGCTGAGAGGATTGATGTGCAGGTAGCGTGGGCCAGTTATCCAGAGCCTTTCGGGTTATCTTAAAGCATTTGGCTGTTACTCTGATGAGATGAGGAACCATTCCAGGGCTCCATGCAGAAGAGAGACAGGATCTGACCCAGTACTGGAGTTGCAAAGAGACTTCAGAGGTCAAGGATGGAACCGGAGGCCAGGTCAGGAGAGAAACAGATGATGGAGGCTCAGACCTGGTGATGAGCAGTTGTCAGTGAGAAGTGACTAAATTCTTATATGTTGGGGGTAGAGCCCACAGGATGTGGGTGTGAGAAAGGAGTTGAGGTTGGTTCCCTGGATGGCTAACTGGAAGGATGGGGTTGGGGGAGGAGCATGTCTGGAGAGGAGGAGGCAATGCAGACAGCCTGTGCACGGGGCTTAGAGCTTTCTCTCCAGCCGTGTGGGCGGTTAGGTGCCGCAGTGCCTTTGCACATGCTGGCCTCTGTGTCTGGAAGGCTCTTCCTGCCCTGTCAGACTCCAACGCCTTCGCAACGGTCCCTTCTGTGAATCTGCACCTTCACCCTTCATCCCCATCTGTTCCTCCCTCTGTTTTGTGCACCTTCAGGACCCTGCACACATCGCAGTGCCATTACCACACTGTGCCCCAGAAGGTGCCCCAGAAGTTAGGACTGAGCGCCATTCATCCAACACCTCAGTGTCCCCCACACAGTAGGGGCTCAACCAGAGATCCTGAGGACGTGGGTCGACTCCTAGCTCTACTGTTTGTTCCCAGGTTCTGCCACGTTGGGTCGCTCTCCTTGCCTGCACGGGCCGGGGTGTCTACCTCTGTCAAGTAGGGTGCTCTCTCCCTCCCTGCCTCGGGGTGTCTGGGGAGCCCGCTCGGAGGATCCCGAGAGCAGGGGTTAGCGCGCCCTCTGCCGGAGGACGACAGGCTCCGCGCGCTCTGCTCCCCCGTCCCCACTTGGCCCGGGGAGGTGCAGTCAGAGGGAGCGGACGGCGGGAGATGAAGGGGAGCTGCTGCACCCGGACTCTTCCAGCGCACCCTGCACACTTGTCCTCATTTAATCTCCAGCGCGACTCTGTGGAAGAGCTTAGGTGACACCCATGTTCCTACGCGCCGACTTGTTTCCTACTTGTTACTGAGTTTCTTACTCGTTGTTACTTTTTTGTTTGTTTTTTAAAGGGGAGAAGCAACTCTGAGAGAAAAGGGCAAAGAAGGCTGTAAAGGAAAGAAAAGGCGCGAGAGGAGGAGAGTCCCCGGGTGACCGCGAGGCCGAGGAATGGCTGAAGACCAGATCCATCTGCATGGGGCTGGGAGGGGGTCCCGTGACCGCTCAGTCGCCGACTCCGCGGAGGGAGACTTTGACCAGCCCCTGCCACTCTGCGGGCTCGGTTTCCTCGCCTGTGAAACGGGGCCGAGGACTCTCCTCCCCGCGGCGACTGCTCTTCACCGGGTCCGAGCCCAGCCACCGCCCCCGGGGGAGGGCCTTGCCCAGCGCGAGCTACGACTGCCGCCGGGGGCGCACTTCCTGCGGGACCGCGGCTGCGGAGACCGTTCCCGCCGCCCGCCTGGGCTCCAGGGCTGAGGTCCCTGGGGCCTCCGTCTCCTTGCCAGGGAGGGGCACTGGCTAGGTGACACGGGACTCGCCGTTTCCCTTCTCTGAGCCTGTAGCAGATGATAATAACATTTCCCTAGAGGGTCTTGCTTTGTTAATAGTCAGATTACAAAGCACTTGTCCCTTCCCAGCCCTTTATGTCCCTTCCCTGTGCAAAACCTGGGAGGCGGCTCAATAACTATCTCTGATCTGCAGGTGACAAAACTCAAGCCCGGAGCAGAGCTGAGAACCAGTCCTGGCCATGACCTGATCACTCAGCCGTTTCCTGCCCCTCAGCCATCGCTCAGCCAGCGCCCTTGAGCTCCCTCCTGGACCTCCTCTGCAAACTGTTAACTCTGTACCGTGTAAACTGTAAAGTGTAAAGCCCACTCTGAGGGCTGGCGTTGGTGGGTGCGAGGAAGGAGAAACCCCTCTTGGAAAAAGAGCCTGTGGGAAGGACCCCCAGTTAGAGGGGCAGCTGTGAGCACAGGTGTGGGGCTAGGGAAGAGCGCCGCCCTGCTGGCCGGAGGGAGAAGGAGCTGACGCCATCAGGCAGTCCCCAAGCCCTGCAAGTCAGTGAGCCAAGTGAAGGCCTTTGATCCTGCATTGGTGATTTAGCCCCATATAAAAGCCAAGTGAACGTTCTCTTGTGGAGTCTGATGGTCTTCATTTTCCTGTAATCCTGTAAAGGAATCTGATTTCTTCCATCAGCCTGTCCCCAGGACTAAAACACCTCATTAGTGGTATTCTTAGGAAGGCGTCTTCCTAGATCAGGCAGCAAGGAACTGGAGAAAGTGGCTGTCATGGTCACTTACACCCTGCAGGGTCATTAATTCCCAGAGCCTTAGAGGTGGGTGGGAGGCAGCTCACTGAAAGCAGACCTGAGTGGTGGACAGTGTGTGAATGTGAAGGGGACAGAGAAACCCAGGGAGGCCAGGCCTGGAGACGGCCTGGTACTGGGAGGTACCATTATGATTCCCATTTTACAGAGGAGGAAACTGAGGTACAGGCATCTAAATGTATCCTTTAGAGTTTTCATGTATTCCTAGCCGTATGTGTAATTTGGTGATGGGAAGAGCACTGGTTTGGGTTTCCTGGATTCTAGTTCAAGTCCTGTTCCAAACTCTCTATGACATTTGTCTTTCTGAGCCTCATTTTTTTCATCTGCAAATGGGACCTCAGCCCCTATTTTGCACAGAGCTTCACAGGGTCATTATAAAGATAAGAGAAGGCCAGGTGCGGTGGCTCATGCCTGTAATCCCAGCACTTTGGGAGGCCGAGGCAGGTGGATAACCTGAGGTCAGGCGTTAGAGACCAGCCTGGCCAATATAGTGAAACCCTGTCTCTACTAAAAATACAAAAATTAGCTGGGCTTGGTGGCGCATGCCTGTAATCCCAGCTGCTCGGGAGGCTGAGGCAGGAGAATTGCTTAAACCTGGGAGGTGGAGGTTGCAGTGAGCTGAGACCACGCCGTTGCACTCCAGCCTGGGTGACAGTGTGAGAATCTGTCTCAAAAAAAAAAAAAAAAAAAAAGAGAGAGAGAAAAGGTGATGTGTAACCTGATCATGAACACGCTGTCCCACAGGAGAGGAGCCAGAATCCAGACCCAGGCAGCCTGCCTCGCCAACAGAGCTGCACTGTTCAGATGCTAGAGTTAAGCAGCATCACTCTGTGGCAAGGCCCACAGCCTCTGGGTTCACATCCCACTAGCTCTGCCATCTCTAGCTGTGTGACCTTGGGCAGGTTACTTGTCTGTGCCCCAGGGTCCTCTCTGGAGTGGGGATACTAGTAGCTGCCTCATGGGGTTCCCTTCAATGAGTTAATAATAGCTGTAACATGTTTAGAATGGTGCCATGCACATAGTCGCCTGCCAGTAAATATGTGTCATTATGCCTGAACCCCGGCAAGGCACATGTCCTGGGAGAGTGTAGAATTCTTCAGGATTCTGAAATGCCAGCCTGTGGGACCCTGGAATCCTCCAGTAGCAGCATTCTAAGCTCTCTTGCCTGTGGAACTGAACCCTGCTTCCCAGAGCTGGAAGGTGTGGGGCTGCCTGTCCACCCAGCTCAGCCCCATGGTAGGCAAATGAGGTGATGTCAAAGCCTTGGCTGGGGCCCAACCCCCGTAACCTCCCACTCTCCCTCCCCTGCGTGCTCCCTCACTCAGATTCACACACGCTCCAGACCTGCCGGGCCCAGAGGGAAGGTGAGAGGGCGAGGAGTGAAGGTGGCTGGGTGGGTATGTGGGTCCGTTGAAGTGAGCCGCCTCCAGCCCTGTTGAACTGGTGGGCCCAGGGACCAGAGCTGGACCGAGAGGGATCTTGCTCTCCCCTGAAGCCTTGAGCTGTAGTGATTTCAGAGTGTCTTCTCTCCTTGTGTGAGCCTGTCTGGGTGTTTAGACTGAACTGCAGCCACCCCTCTGCCTCGGGTGTGCAGGCCAGGGCCTGGCCAGGCAGCCATGGCTGATGAGAAGACCTTCCGCATCGGCTTCATTGTGCTGGGGCTTTTCCTGCTGGCCCTCGGTACATTCCTCATGAGCCATGATCGGCCCCAGGTCTACGGCACCTTCTATGCCATGGGCAGCATCATGGTGATTGGGGGCATCATCTGGAGCATGTGCCAGTGCTACCCCAAGGTAGGTGGCGGTGGGGCTGGGTAAGGCTAGGTCACCTGGGGCCAGGAGGGCTGGACACTGTGCCTTTATGCCATGACTCACCCACACCATCCTTCAGTTGTATTTTCATTCTTCTCATTTTGACTTGGTCTTCTGTCTGCTCTCCTGAGCATCCATCCCATCCATCCATCCATTCATCCATCCATCCATCCATCCATCCACTCACCCATCCATCCATCCACTCACCCATCCATCCACACACTCACCCACCCACCCATTTATCCACACACCCACTCATCCATCCATCCATTCATACACCCCTCCACCCATTTATCCATCCACATGCCCACCCATCCATCCACCCCTCCCTCCCTCCTTCCCTCCCTCCCTCCCTTAGCCTGAGGGTTGATCAGAAGGCCCCTGGTCTGGAGCTCTGAACCAGAAGTTATGGTGTAGACACAGTAAAGTGCAACACGCCGTTCATGAGCTTAAAACAAAAGCTAATGAACGCTGAGCAGCTGGTGGGCACTCCTACATTCAGGGTGCAGTTCAGCCCTCATCCTGAGTCTTTTGGTGCCTTCTGTAGTTCCACATTCTGAGCCTTTCTGAGGTCCAGAAGGAGAGGCCCCAAGCTAACAAGCAAGGTTTGGATTGGAGCTCAGATGCGTGTGACTTATACGTCATCCGTCACCTTGGGTCTTCTACGTCTGGGTCCCAGAGCTGCCGAGAGCTCTGGGGTAGGTCAGGTCTAACCTTGGTGGCATGCTCTGGGCAGTATCCTTTAGAGTCTTCATGTATTCCTAGCCTATGTGTAATTTAGTGATGGGAAGAACACTGGTTTGGGAGTCCTGGGTTCTAGTTCGAGTCCTGTTCCAAACTCTCTATGACCTTTGTCTTTTTTGAGCCTCATTTTTTTCATCCGCAAATGTGACCCCAGCCCCTATTTTGCACAGAGCTTCACAGGGTCATTTTAAAGATCAGAGAAGAGGTGAGATATAGGAATATTTTGTAAACTGTAAGGTGTTATATATAGATGAAGGGCTACCACTGTTACTGATACTGGTCCTCCAAACAGCTCTGTGCAATGGAAATGGCAGGAGTTGTAAACCTTCAACGTCTAGAGAGCCTAAGTGACTTCCAAGGTCACATAGCTGGTCAGGTACAGACCGGGGAGTAAAGGAGGGAAATAGGGACTCTAACTTGGACTCTGTCTCTAACTGCCTGGGAGACTTTGCTCATGCCCCTTTCCTCTCTGAGCCTGTTTCCTCATTTGTACAATGTGTGAGTTAGGAGGAGTGGTGGGGAAGTGGGTATATCTCGGGGTCCTGCTGGACCTAACATCTAGGGTTCCAGGCCCAGGCAGACCCCAGCAACCCCCACACCTCCTCACCTCCCACCTGGGTGACTGTGCTCAGGGCTTCAGGGAAGGAGGGGGATGGCTTCTGGAGCCTGGGCAGGCTCTCCCCAGCCCTGCCCCCTCCACAGGCCAGCCCTGGGCTGTCATTCCGTTCAGTGCTGGAGCGGTCTGGGCTGGTTTGTAGTCATTTAGCAGGCAGTTTACAGTCAACTTGCCTCTGTCTATGCAATTCCCTGAGCAGAGGTCATCAGGAGAAATCCTTGGGGCCAAAGCCACCCATGTCACCACTGCCATCGTAATCCTTCTCCCAGTGAGGAGGCTGGACCCTGGGGGACAGCAGAGGGATGGCAGGGGTGTGGAGGGGAGCATCCTTCCTACCCTCCCCTCTTAACTAGAGGGGCTCTGGGGTGGTGGGCAGGTTGATGGGAGTGGCGGTAGAGGGGAGGGAAGGGAGGATGGAATATTGCTGGTTACTAATGAGTAACTGTTGATAGATTCATGTGTTCATGTGCTGTGGAGGCAGCCAGGGGAACGGGAAATGGCACATGCTGTAGTGGCCTCCAGGCCCAGATTCAAATCCCTCCTCCTTCATGTTCCACTTCTGCGACCTTGGCAGAAGGAGTCCCCCCATCTGCTCCCCAGCTCTGAGCCTTGTACGGCAGATTGGGAGAACACAGTGGGATCCTGTGTGTGTGTGTGTGTGTGTGTGTGTGTGTGTGTGTGTGTGTGTGTGCTGCGGGAGACCTGGAGACCTGGCACCGTGCCTGACATGGAACACATGTGAAGGCATTGTTCTCAGGATTGAGGATTGGTATTTGTGGCACTGGGCGGGTCTCTGCGTGAGTGCAGGTGTGTGTGGGTGTGTGTTTCAGAGACGCAGGCTGATAGAGTCAGCACAGGCTGACTCCAGTAAGGGAAGAGAGGAAAGCACATCGCAAACCAGGGAGACACTCAAGTGGCGAAGCTCCCTGGATCCTGTGTGGTCTCACTGGTGCCTGGGCCAGCATCGCCTGCGATGCTCATGCCTGTCCTGCCCTCGGCCTCCTCTCCTGGCTCCCTGTGCCGGATCCATGGAAAGTTTCAATAAATGGGGAGATACAAATGTAAGGAAATAGAATCAGCTAATTAGAATACAGGGGTCAGGGGCAGCCAATACCAACATGCATTAAGCTGTCCATGTCTTTTAGGGGGTAGAGGTCTGGTGGGAGAAACTATTTGCTGCCTGATGGGGAGGAAATAGGCTTCACAGAGAAGGTGAGCTGACCTTTGTAGGTGGGATAGGAGTTCACCAGGCAGAAAAGAAGGGGACAGACATTCCAGGCAGATGAGCAGCATGATCAAAGCGATGTAACTGCTAAGTAAATTATAGCAATATGGTGAAAGAATCAAAACAATGTGGTGAAAGAATAAAGCAAGTGGGTATGAGAGTCAGAGGGGAGGAAGGTAACGGCAGAGAGAGAGTGGGGCTCAGCTCTTCAGAGCCTGGAATGCCATGGTAAGGAATCTGGAGCTGATCCTTTAGTTAATGGGACATGATCAGCTTTGCAGTTTGAGAAAGACATCCAGAAGGACGGTCTGGGGGCAGCCACACCAGCGGGGAGGTTTCTTCTCTGGTCCTGGTGAGAGCTGACAGTCATCTGGACTAATGCAGAATTTAAACCGAAAGCTGTAGGAACTCAGGTGACATTTACAGTTCACTACACGTAGAGTACCTGCTGTGGCTAGGCATAGCACTAGCACTTCCACCCAGGTTATCTTATTGAATTTCTAAAGTGGACCTGGTCAGATTTGGTGGCCAACTGGGCCCCAGGCATGACAGAAGAGAAGGGACCAGGACAAATCAAATCTAGTGTATGCGGCAGTTGGAGGTGCTGAGCCCGTTAGTGAAGATGGGCCTGGGGAGCCGTGAGCAGGGATAGGAGTGGCAGGGAGAGCAGGGTCTGTGCCGACACATCCCCCATTCCTCACTCCTGCCTGCTGTGCTGGAGCCCAGGACCAGGAGCCCACTGGTGGCCTCCCTCCTCTGGAGATGGCTCAATGTTCTGCCTAAACACAAATCTGAGTGTACTCTCCTGCTGAGAACTCCTTCAGGACTCCTCATTGCTTCTGGACAAAGGCTAAGCTTAGTTTGATATTCTGGTGGTCTCCATGGTCTGATATCCCCTCCCCAGCTTCAACTCTGCCTGTTCCTACTCATCAAAAAACTTGTATTTTAAGATGCTCCATCCTCTCCTTCTCCAAGCTTTTCATAGGGAAGGTGATGATGATAATGATGGTGATAATGAGAGTGTGGTGGGGATGGTGAGGGTGAGAATGGCAATGGTAACAATGATGATGATGTCAGTGATGGTGCTGGTGAGGATGGTGATGGTGAAGATGGTGATGGTGAAGATGATGGTGAGGATGGTGATGGTGAGGATGGTGATGGTGAAGATGATGGTGAAGATGATGGTGAGGATGGTGATGGTGAAGATGATGATGGTGAAGATGATGGTGAGTATGGTAATGGTGAGGATGATGATGGTGATGGTGAGGATGATGATGGTGAACATGGTGATGGTGAGGATGATGATGGTGAGGATGATGATGGTGAGGATGATGATGGTGAAGATGGTGATGGTGAGGATGGTGATGGTGAAGATGGTGAAGATGATGGTAAGGACGGTGATGGTAAGAGTGGTAATGGTGACAATGGTGGTGATGATGATGATAATGATAATGATGGTGAGGGTGGTGATGGTGAGAATGGTAATGTTGATAACGGTGATGATGATGGTAATGGTTATGATGGTGACAATGATGATGATAGCAATGGTGGTGATGGTAACTTTTGTGGTAATAATAGTTATGGTGATGATTGATGGTAATGAGGATGATGATGGTGATGGTGAGGATGATGGTGCCGAGTAGGCTATGAGGTAATGAGCAGAGGAAGAGGCAGCTTCTAGGAAGTACAGTACCAGTGAGGAAGTACAAGGCATCCTTAGTGGGGGTGAAAGATGCCCAGATCCCTGTCTTAGTTTTCCTTCTTTCCTCCTTCCCTCCCTCCCTCCCTCCCTCTCTCTTCTCTTCTCTTTCTTTCTTTCTTTCTTTTTCTTTCTTTCTTTCTTTCCTTCTTTCCTTCCTTCTTTCTCTCTCTTCCTTCCTTTCTTTCTTTCTTTCTTTCTTTCTTTCTTTCTTTCTTTCTTTCTTCTTTCTTTCTTTCTTTCTTTCTTCCTTTCTTTCTCTTTCTTTTCTTTTCTTTTCTTTTCTTTTCTTTTCTTTTCTTTCTTTTTTCCTTTCTTCTTTAGAGAAAGGAGCTCAGTTTGTCACTTAGGCTGGAGTACACAGGCACAATCATAGCTCACTGCAGCCTCGAACTCCTGGGATCAACCAATCCTCCTGCCCCAGTCTCCCAAGTAGCTGGGATGACAGGCGCACACCACCACACCCGGCTAAGTTTGTTATTTAATTTTTTTTTCTTTCTTTAGAGACAGGGTCTTGCTTCATTGCCCAGTCTCTCTGCCTTATTTCTAGATATCTAGGGGAAGCTCGCTCCTCATAGGAGTTCAAAGGCCCCCTCCATCCGTCATTTCCTTCTCCCCATCAGAATGGAGCTTTCTTAGTGCAAACAATTGTCTTCTACTTACTTCATTCTATGGGAAGTGAAATAGGGAAGTGCTTGTGAATCTCGTATAACACAGTAGGGTCTCAACAAATATTTGTTGGAAAATTTTCAGCTGAAGAGACTCAGGGAAGTCAGACAACAGAATCATCAGTAGCATCAAGTTATGATTTACTGAGCAGTTACTATGTGCTGGGCACCATGCTGAGGGGTTCCCTACATATGATCTCATGAAATTTTCACAGCAACCTCAGGAGGCAGGCATAACTAGCCCCATTTTAAAAACTTGTGGTAAAATACACGTAACATAAAATTTAGTGTCTTAAACATGTTTAAGTGTACAGTACAGCTAAGTACATTCACATTGTTGTCCAACCAATTTCCAGAATGCTTCGCGTCTTGTAAAGCTAAAACTCTATACCCGTTAAATAACCTCATTACTCCACTCCCTAGTCCCTGGCAACTTTTCTGCTTTCTGACTCTATGGATTTGACTATTCTAGGTGCCTCAGAAAAGTAAAATCATACAGTATTTGTCTTTCTTTCTTTCTATTTATTTAAGACAGAATTTCACTCTTGCCCAGGAGTGCAATGGCGTGATCGAAGCTCACTGCGACTTTCACCTCCCAGGTTCAAGTAATTCTCCTGCCTCAGCCTCCAGAGTAGCTGGGATTACAAGGATGCACCACCACGCCTGGCTAATTTTTTTTTTTTTTTTTTGTATTTTTAGTAGAGACAAGGTTTCATCATGTTGGCCAGGCTGGTTTCGAACTTCTGACCTCAGGTGGTCCACCCGCCTCAGCCTCCCAAAGTGTTGGCATTACAGGCGTGAGCCAGCGTGCCCAGCCCAGTATTTGTCTTTCTGCTCAGCATAATGTCCTCAAGGTTCAGTGATGTTGTAGTGTGTGTCAGAATTTCTGTCCTTAAGGCTGAATAGTATTTCGTTGTGTGGATAGACTACATTTTGTTTATCCATTCATTCACCAGTGGATTCTTGAATTGCATCTACCTCTTGGCTCTTGTGAATAGTGGTGCTCTGAACATGGCTATGCAAGCATCTCTTCGAGGCTAGCCCCTTTATACAGAGGAGCACAGAGAGACTGGGAAGAGAGCTGACCTGCCTAGGGCCCACAGCGAGGGCCTGGCAGAGGAGGGATCCTCAACCCGTCTCCCAGTCCCCACAGGCAGAGCTCCTCTCCCTCACCCACTGCTTCCTTCATGATCTGCCTCCTGCTGTACCACGTAGTGCCCTCCTAGGGCTGGACTTGCAGAGACCTCTTCATTCCTAAAAGTTCAGGGACAGGGACTGGTGGGCATAGCTTCTCTGTCACCTGCTGCAGCCCACGTGCCAAAAAGCACATGAGAATGGCTTGCTTTCCACTCATTCACCAAATATGGATGAAGGACCTACTATGTGCCAGGCATGTGCTGGGCACTGGATGAAGACCCCTGGGAAATGACAAGGTGTGAGCTCCCCAAGGACAGCGTTGTCTCTTTCACTCCCTGCTGCTCCTACTGCCTGTGACAGTGCCTGCGCACAGCAGGTATTCAATAAGTTGAGTGAATGAAGAAGAACCAGGGAGGGAGCAGGAGAGCAGAGGTTCACCCTCCCTCTGGCGCTGTGCCCCAAGCAGGCCCGTCTCCTGCCAGGCAGAGAGGCCTCCATGGTGCAGCCTGTCTCCCAGGGTGCGTGGAGAGGTTTGCCGATTCCCTGGAGGCACAGCGACCCCTACCCTGGTCAGCTGCACCGAGACTGTCTCTCCTTTGCTTGCAGATCACCTTCGTCCCTGCTGACTCTGACTTCCAAGGCATCCTCTCCCCAAAGGCCCTGGGCCTGCTGGAGAATGGGCTTGCTGCCGAGATGAAGAGGTAGGTGCCAGGCCCTCTGGGCAGGGGAGCAGTAAGCCCCATCGGCAGTCTCCCCTGACTGAGGAGAGTGGGAGAGAGGCCGGGAAGGCTGTTTGCCTTCTCACTTACTGAGAGGGTGTCGTTATAAATTAGGGACTATTTTTAACTCTCAATTCGGTGAGTGAGGTGTTATTATTTCCTTGTACAGATGTGGAAACAGACTCAGGGACTTTGTCTTGTCAGGGACGAGACAGTATGTTACAGGGAATACAAGATCTCCATGAAGCAAATCATACAGGGAAACGTACTGTGAGAAACACAGTGAAATAGCCACAGGAGTGACTGCTAGGCATGGTGATGGCCAGGGCACTGCCCTAGGGCTCTGCTGCCTACTCGCGGCACGACTTCGGGCAAGCTACCGACCTCTCTTTGCCTCATCTGTAAAATGGGGATACTAATAGTACCTAACTCCTAGGGCTTCAGGGAGTGTTAAGTGAGATAATGTATGTGGAGTGCTAAGAACAGAGCCTGACACACAGTAGGTCTTCTATGAGTGTTTGTCATCATTAGTAAGTGCCTTCTGTGTACCGGAGACTGAGTCAGGCATGTGCACCCATCATTTCCATCAGTCCTCATAGAAACCCTGTGAAGCTAGGGATGTTAGGCCCTTTATACAGATGGGAAGGTTGAGGTTCAGAGAAGTGTAGTCACAACCCCAAACTTCATGGGGAGTCAGTGATGGAAGCGGGGCCTGAACTCAGCAGTGACAGAGGCGGGGTCTGAACTCAGGCCTGACCTGGCCACAGACTGTTTCCTTCACTGGAGGTTTTGAGCTCTGGCTCCCATGGCACAGACAAGAATGCTCCAGCTCTGGAGAGGCTGTGGGGCCACCAACCCCCTGGGCTGTGACTCTGCACTCAGGAGGCCTGGCTTCAAGCCCAGGGTCTGTCGGCTGAGTCAGGGATGCTCTCTGCTTTGCTTGGGAAAGCGGATGATAATGGCATTTTCTGCCCCGGCACATAAGGTGAACAGCTGTCTCAGTGGGAGTGAAGGGAATACACCCAATGGGTATGGAGGCCGGCCTGGGGTCCGTCTCAGGACTGGTTACTTGGGGTGGGCTCCTGTGATGGTGCGGGGGCTCAGACCACCCTGGGTTCTGAGCTCTTCCCTGTCACTTCCAGGCTGTGTGACCCCAGGCAAGGGCCCTAGTCTCTGAACCTTACTTTCCAGAAGGACTGTAGCACAGTGATAGAGAAATGAAGCCTGGAGCTCCAGTGCCATCACCTAGGGTCCGTGTCACCTGAGTACTAGTCTGTTAGAGACTCTGTGCCTCAGTTTCCTCATAGTATCTCTTGTAATTATGAGAAGGATTAGATGAGCCAAGTAACAGAGCCTGGCAGGAAAGGAGCGCCCATTGCTGTAGGCCATTGTTGCTGGGTATGTCCTCATCCGTAAAACGGCAATGAGAATTTCTCCCTCAAGGCATTGTCTAGAATAACGGGTTGATAAACGCACAGCCTTTACCCACCATCTGGGAGCCAGCAAACTCAATGTTAACTGCTCTTCATTTTGCAATTGCATCTTTATGGTTAACTTTGGAGACATCAAGTGAAAAGAACACTGGATAGAGAGTCAGACTTGGGGGCAGGCCAGAGCTTTGTCACTTCATTTAGTCACTTTGCTGGGCCTCAGCCTCTTCATCCCTGAAATGGGAGCAGTGATATACCCCAAAGCCTTCTTGTGAGATGAGGGGAGACCACATACCCAAAGCAAACCGGTCGGGGGAGAACACTGCTGTTTGCTGAGCGACTCTCTGTCCACCTGCCTGTTCTCTCTCCGTCTCTAGCCCCGGTCCCCAGCCCCGCTATGTCCGGCTGTGGGGGGAAGCTGCCTATGACCAGAGCCTGCCCGACTTCAGCCACATCCAGATGAAAGTCATAAGCTACAGTGAGGACCCCCGCCCCTTGCTGGCCTCCGAGACGGGACAGCCGAAGCTGGGAACCAGTGATGGAGAAGGTGGCCCCGGCGACGTTCAGGACTGGACAGAGGCTGCCGTGGTCATCCACAAGAGATCAGATGAGAGTGAAGGGGAAAGAGGGCTAACTCAGAGCTGCCTCGAGTGAGTGCTCAGAGGGCAGGAGTGGGGTTCTGCCCAGTTCAGGGGTTAAAAAGGAGAGGAGCGGGGGGCCACCAGGAGGTGGGTGGGGACATTGGGAGTAAGGAGGAGGCAGTGGAGTGTGTGGGATGTCCTGAGATGTGGCAGGTGTGGCAGACAAATGAGCATGGGCTTGGGAGTCGGAAAGGCCTTGGTTCAAATCCCAGCTCCGGTGCTGTGTAGATGTGGTAATTTCCTGACTTTCCGTAGCCTCAGTTTCCCCACACAGGAATGATCATTCCTGCTGCCCAGGAATGTTGAGATTGAGACAGTGCATTTAAATGCCTGGCATACAGCAGCCTCTTGCTGGCTCTGAGTACTTGTTGTGAGTAGCAGGGGGCCAGGAGCCAGGGGACCTGAGTTCAAATTTGGATCTGCCTCTGACCTGCTCTGTGACCTTGGGCAAGGCGCTCTCCACTCTATTCACATCCCTGTCTGTCTGTGAACTGGGTTCCTCATTCATCCGTGTATCTATTCATTCCATCCACATTACTCAGCACCAACTCCCTGCCCAGCCTTCACTGGCATCAACCTCTGAGGAGCTCTGAGTCCAATGGGGCAGGCAAAGACACAGAGGGACACCCCAGAGTAACTGGGCCTGTGAGCAATGCAGGAGAACCTGAATAATTGGAGAAGTAGATGAGTGACCTGGTTCAGATAATAACATAATAATAGCCCTATTTCTTGAGCACCTGCTATGTGCCAGGCATGGAGGAAAAAGCTGCAGGAGTGAATACTGTTATTTCCTCCACTTTACAGGGGGAGGAAGCTGAGGCATGGGAAGGTGGATTAACCTACCCTAGGCCTTGCAGCTAGTGGCTGGTATGTGGACCCAGCCATTCTGACTCATAGATGCCCTTACCTTGTGGTTCTTGCCCCTACAGCCCCCCAGCCTTTCCTGAGGGCCCTGCCCCCTTGGCTTCCTTCCAAGATGACCTGGACATGGGCTCCAGTGAAGGCAGCAGCTCCAACACATCTCCACATGATGGGGAGGAAGTTTGTTCCCCACAACAGGAGCCCTGGGCCTGTAGGTGCCCGCTGGACTGCTTCCAAGACTTTGCCCTGATTGATGCCCCAACGTTGGAGGATGAGCCCCAAGAGGGGCAGCAGCGGGAGGTAGTCCTGCCCAACAACTGGCAGCAGTACCCAAGGACAAAGGTGGAGGAGAAGGAGGCTTCGGACACAGGTGGGGAGGAACCCAAGGAGGAAGAGGAGGACCTGTACTATGGGCTGCCAGACGGCCCCGGGGACCCCCTCCCAGACAAGGAACTGGGTTTTGAGCCTGACACCCAGGGCTGAGGTGGTTGTGCTCCATAGCTTCTAGTCTGGAACTGCTGCTAACCCCTGTGTGACAGCACAGGGCCTCAGTTTCCCTATCTGCAAAATGGGATGATATGGAGGTTCAAATGAGGTGGTGGCATTTTGAGGATGGTAAAGAAATGCACAGGGAGGGGATGATTACTACCAAAGGACTGTTGTTTTTCTAATAGTTGTCTTCAGCCAGCCTTTGAAAGCAAAATGTGATTTGTTGAGGTTTGCAGCAGCTGTGGCCCTCAAAAGCATTTTCCACCTCCCCCCAAAGCTGGCCTCTGACAGGGACCTTCCTTGGTGCTTCCCCTGGGCCCCTGATCCTTTGTGAAGGCCTCTCAGGGTTCCCGTTACTATTGTGTCTTATAGTCTGCTTGGTAGATGGCATGATCCATCTTCATGCAAAGGGAGCCTCATCTCCTCCTGGGCCACATTCCTCCTGCAGCTTCCATTCCTCCTTTGCCAGGACCCTAAACCTCCTGTGACTGACCCCTGCTGACCTCATTCTCTCTGCTCCTCCAATTCCTAGCCTGGCCCCCCCACCCATCTTGTGGCTCACATTCTTGCCCAAGCTGTTCTCCTCCACCAGGATGCCCTTGGCTCCCTTTTCAGCTTGGCAAATTCATACTCATCCTTCAAACCTCTGCAAAATTGGCCCCCCTCGGAAAGGTTTTCCTGATGTCACTGCCTCCTGGAACCAAGCAGTCTTGCTTTTCTGCACTGCCTCTGGGACCTGTACATTTATCAATGTGGCATGCCTGCCTGCGTCCCATAAAGGGCAGCATCTTGACTTTACCCGCCTTGGAAATCTCCTGTGCCCAGATGGGCTTTTCTGGCCTGGCCCAGAACTGGTGGTCATCAAGGGTATACAGAACTCACCAGGACCCAGGAACCTGTTGCAGATAACATCACTCTCCCCCACGCTCCCAACTTTTAGACTCACAGCCCTCTTAATCTCTGGAATTCAAACTTCTAAATGGTCTGCATGTATTCACAAAGCAGGCAAAAAGCCCTCAAAGGAACCCCATCCCCAACCCCTGCCTGTGGAATACATTTGCTTTGACTTGGAATTTTAGGTGAAATTCAGCTTCCTGGCCTCCTTCAGTTTGAATCGATTGGCAGGCCAGGTGCAGTGGCTCATGCCTATAATCTGAGCACTTTGGGAGGCTGAGGTGGGTGGATCACTTGAGGCCAGGAGTTGGAGACCAGCCTGGACAACATGGCGAAATCCTGTCTCTACTAAAAATACAAAAATTAGCTGGGTGTGGTGGCGCACGCCTGTAGTCTCAGCTACTTGGGAGACTGAGCTGGAGGATTTCTTAAGCGCAAGAGATGGAGGTTGCAGTGAGCCGAGATCGCACCACTGCACTCCAGCCTGGGTGACAGAGACCCTGAATCAAAACAAAACATGGAATAGGATGGCATTTAGTGAGCATCTACTATATGCCAGATATTAAGCTATGATCTCTAGGGGTAAAGAGACATGAACTACTGACACTGTCCTTGCCCTCAGAGGGCTCACAATCTAGGGAGCTTGATTTCCTTGTTAGAGACAGAGCACAGAGCAGAAGCTGAGGTGGGAACAGAGAAATAAATAATGGACACAACAGAGGCAGCAGAGTGACAGCTCCCAGCTGTTTGGGGCGGTGGAGCATGGCGGTAAATAGCTCAGGCTGTCTCTGAAGCCCTTGAAGACATCACTGTACCCTATTGTAGCATCTCATGGTGACGCTATTATGCTGGTCTCTGCAAAACCTGTCTGTGCCCCAATCCAGGATTGTGGCAGCTGCAGAGAAAATGGCAGTAACACTACCTCAAACCAGGACACACCCTCAGACCTGTGCCCTGGGCCACCTGGGAGCCGGAGACCTTCACCTGGGCTATGCCTCCAGGTTGAGGTTGGGGGTCCCCGCCTAGGGAAAGAGATGCCCCTCTGTGCTGGGTCACAAGGTCACGGCCCTGGGAACACACTCTGTTTTCTTTCTGGGTCATTTCTGCCTCTGCAGTGAAGGATGCCACAGGGCACACCCACTCTGCTGGCATGACACGGGACAGGTGTTTCTGCTCACAGCCATCGAGTCTTTGGATGAGGTGAGGGGTAGCGCGCTGCTGCACTCTGTTGACTAAGGCAGGGCAGCCTACAACCCACATCAGGAAGAGCACCAGCACCAGGGCTAAAATGAAACCACTTTCAACATTTAAACGGGTCACCTTCATTCACCTGCAAATTCTTTTCTTTAAAACCATTCATTCTCTCCAGGCAGGACACCTGAGACCTCATGCCAGGAGGCACCACAGACCCTTTGTGAACTAAGTGCTCACTGCAGTGGCAAGACTGTGGGGAGTGCTGTGTGGTGCTGAATCTCAGGAGTGCCCCACACCCCTGAACCACAACTGCTGGGGGCGCGTTAGACCAAAAGAAGAGCCTCTGGCTGCTGGGCCTGCCAGCAGGGAGATGCTAACCCTCTGCAGGGGGCTAGGGTAGTGGAGTGAGATGGTGAGACCCAGGCTCAGTCTCCCTGGTTCTTGCTGCATGATGGGGAGACCGCACACCTGATCTGCCCAGGAAGGTCCCGGTTGACCCCCACTGCCTCTGCTAAGTTAGGAGGAGGCCCCCTTTCCCTCTCAAAGGCACCTCATGCAGATGATACAATATGTTACTCTCAAAGGCTTCTTACCTGGATGATACAATATATGACCTTGGGCAAGTCTGGTTGCCTCTGCAGCCCTCAGCTTTCTCATGTGCAAATGATAGATGAAGTGCATATATTTGGAATCTTGCAGCATTATGTGAAGTGGGTATCTGCTGGGACCTATCTAGTCAATGCCCTGCAGCCAGAGACCACCAGAGCACACCTGTAGTTAACAAGCTGGGTTTCTTGTGGCAGCAAGGTGAACGAACACCAAGGCGAGCTGGGGGAGTCTGAAAGCGGTATTAGAAATGACTAGTTATGGGATTTGGGCCTGTGTTCAGTGGCCTGGGGAGGATTGAAGGAGTGGACCTGTGCTCTGGATTGGATGCTGTCAGGAGACGGGGCTCATTCTATGATTGGGCATCTTCTTCAATCTCTTCTAGGATAAAATAAAATAAAACACCGTGCTTCACACCCCTGGCCTTGCCAACTTGCAGTCCCCTCTAAAGCACCAGGGCCTCTGGGGCAGCCCCTCTCCACTGGGAGAGGAGCAAGGTGCTGGTGGAGGTCCTGGGGGGAAGTGGGGAGACTCCGAAACGGCCAGGAGGGGCTTTTTGGGGTGGCAAAGCCTGGATTCCAGCTTTCAGCCCCAGGCTCTGGGTGTGTGTGCCAGGGTGAAAATGCCTGCTCTTGGTCACTTTCCTGTCAGGTCAGAGGGACTCTGGAAGTTTCCACTCTCTGGGGAGAGAAAGGCCCTGGAGGGACGGCCCCTGTCCTTAACTGGAAAGGGTGAGCAAGGAAAGGCAGGGAGCTTGGGGACAGGGAGCCTGGGCTCTGCCAACTGCTTGCCGTGACCTTGGGCACACCACAGCCCTCCCTGGGCTCCTCTCTCTTTTCTCTGTGAGATATGGGGGGTGGGGGGCAAGATTCCACCTCTGCTCCCAGTCTCGCATCACTGAGTGCCAGGCACCGTGCAAGGCACCACCACACCTGTTTCCCCATCTGGTCCTCGACCAGTCTGTCGATTCCATTGCAAATGTTTGTTCAAAATCCCAGACCAGGGATTTTGAGAAAGACCAGGTTTCACCTTTAGCTTCTGCCAGTTCTTGCTGTGTGGCCTTGGACAAGTCACAGGCCCTCTCTGAGCCTCAATATCCACATTTATGCAGTGGGAAGGATCATACCTCCCTCCTGGGCTTCTGTGAAAAAGAACTGGGTATAATGAGTATAATGCCCCAGGCACATTGTAGGTGCTTAGACAGTGTTGGTCTCCTTCCCTCTCTGGGTCTCTTCCCTCATCTATGCAGCAGGGAGCCACTGTCCTGCTGTTTATAAATAAAACAACAGGTGAGTGCATTCACCAGGAGGAAGATGCATGTAAAAGCTTCTTGCAAAGCCTAAAGAATGTCTGTGTGCCCGGTGCTGAGAGGCAGGCAAGCCCAGGGACTAAGGTGTATAAAATGCCTCTTGCGAGGCAGGAGGGGAGCAGCATGCTGAGTGAGAGGGGCAGCACCCTGAAGCTCGGAGGAGGAGCAGGATTGCTTGTGCTGTCAGACAGGTGCCAAACAGTCTTCCAGGCACCTGCTGAGTGCCAGGCGCTTCCCATAAATCATTTTATTGAATTTAATCTTTCCATCTGCCCTGAGAGATGAGTGTTACCAGGAGAGAAACTGGGATTCAAACGCAGGTCCTCTGAGCCTGTGCTCTTTCCACAATGCCACCTGGTCCATACATAATAAGACTCAACAATGCACCTGCTGTGCTGTGCACGCTTGATTTGATTTTATCCTCGCAGCTTGCAAGGTTGGTAGGCTGTCCCCATTTTATTTTTATTTTTATTTTCATTTTGAGACAGAGTTTTGCTCTTGTTGTCCAGGCTGAAGTGCAGTGGCATAATCTCACCTTGCTGCAACCTCCACCTCCCTGTTGCAAGTGATTCTCCTGCCTCAGCCTCCCAAGTAGCTGAGATTACAGGTGCACGCCACCACACCTGGCTAATTTTGTATTTTTAGTAGAAATGGGGTTTCACCATGTTTTCCAGCTGGTCTCAAACTCCTAACCTCAGGTGATCCACCCACCTTGGCCTCCCATAGTGCTGGGATTACAGGTGTGAACCCCACGCCCAGCTGTCCCCATTATATAAATGAGGAACTGAGCCTCGGAGAAGCTGAATAATTTGCCCATCCTTGCAGAGAAGAGCTAAATGGAGGAGAGGAGGTCGAGCTGCAGGGCCTTCTGTTCCTGGCAGGAATCACCCAATAGCCCCAGGCCATTCTGACCCGAGTGGGACGGGAGAAAAATCAGTATCAATAAGTCGGGCAGCAAGGTTCCACTGAGGATCTACCTGTGCGTTTCTCTGTGCTAGTGTGGAGGGAGACATGCACTCCCACAACTTCCATGACTGTCTACTGCCCACAAGATAAAAGTCAGATTCCTCAGGTTGGCATTTGAGGCCCTTTGTGATCCACCCCAGCTGCCCCATCCAGCTGAATCATCGGCATGTGCCCCTGTGCAGCAGCCCCGGAAACCTCAACTTTCCAGCCACCCTGCCTTGGCTCATGTTGTTCCCTCCACCTGAAGGCCCTTCATCCCCTTCTCTGACATCCCCCAAATGCTGCCTGTTCCCTGGAGCCTGAATGAGCCCTACTCTCCCCTCCCAGGGTGGAATCCGTCCCCACTGCACCCATTCCTCGAGTCCGTCCCAAACAACGTGTCCCGCACTGTCCCCAGCACTTCTGAATGACTAGCTGTGTGAGTACCAGTCTCCCCACCTGGACTGGGGCCTCTTCCCACCTATATATTTCTATCCCCAGGACTTAGCAAGAGCAAGGACAGTAGTGCTGGTGGAACAGGGTTGAACCGAACCTGGTTCCCATCCTGAGGGTTCACTGGCCCAGGGGCAGGGACTACTAACCCAGGGATGGGGATCACCCGCTTTGGAATAAACAGTGCTGGGTTTGAGACGGGGCTTCCCTACTGGCCAGCTCTGTGACTTTGGCCAGGAGACTTAGCCTCTCTGGCCCTCAATCTCCTTATGAATAAATTGAGGTTAATGATATCCACCCAATAGGCATGTTGTGAAGATTGGATGAGATCATGGGTATTGAGTGTAGCGTGCACCTGGCACCTGGTGAATCCCCAGGAAAATCAGTTATCATTATTATTATTATTATTTTTTTTTTTAAGATGGGGTTTCACCATGATGGCCAGGCTGGTCTTGAACTTCTGACCTCAGGTGATCCACCCACCTCGGCCTCCCAAAGTGCTAGGATTACGGCGTGAACCACCGCACCTGGCCGTCAGTTATCATTATTAGTGTCACCTGCAGAGATGATGTTACAAGGCAGGCAGCAGGTGCTACAAGCACTGTGTCATCCAAGCACAGGCATAACTCAAGCTCTGGATCGTCCGTGCTTCCAGGTGCATGTCAATGGACCCAGCTGGGCTGGTGGCATCAG